TCACATGCACTGTGTGTCATACAGTTCCTGTTTCTATCTTTGGGTTTCTCCTTTAAGATCCGTTTCTCTGCTCTGAACCTGACTTCCTCTGTAATAGATCATGTTCTCAGAACGCCGCCGATGGTTCCCTCCTCCTGAATGTCTTATTCACTTGCTGCTTTTAGGCAAGGAGAGAGCAAGAGAAGGCGAGCAGGTTATGCTTGGTTAATGGCAAATCTAGTGCTGCTGACTGCAAGGTTGCAGAGCTCTGTTCTCTAACAGAAGCAAGCATGTTGCCTTTCTCATCTCAGAGCTTCCACGTGCCTGGGACCAAAGAATCAATTTGAAATCTTCCAGGGTACACTGGGCTACGGCTAGAGCACTAGGCTTGCTGGATTTAAACTGATAATTCAACATAACTAGAAATTAATCTGTTCAAAAGCTTATGTTTTCAGGAGAACAGACTGCTACACAGGTTTACAAGGATAGATAGCATGTTTGTACAGTAACTGTCAACAGCTACCAACTGCCACCTAAAAAAAAAGGAAGAGAAAATTATGCTCAGATATTTATCTTCAGTGTCAACAAGCAAACACAACATACAAGAAAACCCACCTGAAATTTTGCCAGGATAAACATAACTGCACTGAACTGCTATCCTAAATTTTTTCCTAACTTGTACGATGGATCCTTTGATTATTTTTTTCTTTAAAAAGTTTTCAGAACATTTGAACATCTACTGACCTTGCAAGCATGGCTAGAACTTAGTGGCCTCAGGGGCTTGTTAGCCATGCTGTTCTTTCAGCAATGAAGGAGGAGTGTGCGTATGCTTTGCCCAGCAGGCAGAAAACACCCTTCTCCCACCTTGTCAGTGGTCCTCGCCTGTTCACCACCAGAGTATCCTTCCTCTGCTGTGCACATCAGAGTGATGGGCACAGTGACTCCAGACACAGAAGTTTAAAAACCCCAGATATCTTCACCTTCTCCATTCGCTGGTGTTGTGTGCAATGAGTTTGGCAGAGATAGGTGACTTCGTTATTTTAGCTTTACCCAGAGTCCCAACAGTCACAGCTAGAATGGGAAATTATGGCAACGAGAGCCAAAACTATATCTGCTTTTTATGTCCTCAAATCTTGTTCAGCACATTTTGGATGTAAAAACACCACGGATTTTTTTTTAAGGTCTTCATGTTCTTAGGAAACAAACAGTGGGATAGGACATCAAGTATCTTTATATGTCTTACTAACTGCAATTCGTTACAAGTTTAAAAGCACTTGTTTTCTGAGGACAGCACTCAGAAAGCACTGTGATACTCTCATCAGGGAGGTTTCCACTGTCAAAGCTCTGTGGGCAACTCCAGAAAGAAAACAAAATGCTGCTTGCACGCTTCAGGCAAAACGTACTCACCCTCCTTTCCCAGTCTGTGTGCTGCACGCTGCCATCTTTTCACCGTTGTTAGGCAGTGCATTAGTTTACGTGTGCACTGACTGTCTCGTGCTTTTATTCCTTCTGCTTATTAAAGGTTAAGCCAAATGACCTCAGCGCACCTGGCCTGGCACAGCCAGTGTTGAGGCCCCAGAAATACGTGAACAAGAGGAACTCACTGCAGCCTCCTCCTCCGCCTGAGAGGCGGTCGTCCGCTATTAGCGCCTCGCCCATTCTACCCTCCAAAGTCAAACGAGACAGCGGCATCTTCCTAGCAGACCCCGAAACCTTTCCAGCACCGCCACCTTCCCTGATGGTTGGTTTGCCGCCGCCACCACCACCGCCGCCGTCTGATGTCTGTGAACCCCCTCCCGATTTCGTGCCTCCTCCGCCACCTTCTTCCAGCAGCGGCGATGAAGACCTGCCCTTACCCCCCCCACCTCCACCTGTCTCCAGCAAGCCACCGCCTCTGATGAAGAAACCCGTGCCAGTTCCCTCAAAAAGGCATGAAAACGCCGTACAGGATGGAGAGCCCAGATCAGCTGGGCCACCCCCAATTGGGGGTGGAGGCAGGCAAGCAGATTTCATGTCTGACCTCATGAAAGCGCTCGAGAAGAAAAGGGGCAGCAGCTCCTGAACTCTGGGTGCCGGTGGACTACAAGCCATAGCTGCTGTTGTGTCACAGGAGGTTGTGCTGGGTCGGGCCTCACTGGGAGGAATTCGCAGAGTTCCTGCTGGGGGGGGCCCAGAAGCGAGGTGGGGTGCCCTCCGTCCCCTTCGCTGTCCCTACAGTCTGCTCCTTCCTCGCCCCGCACTCCCTTGAACAACCACTGCAGCTGCAGGCCGAGGGAGGAATTTGGCTGCAGAGTCTTGCTTCACTCCATCCAGACAGCCCGGGATGGTGGAGCAGGACTCTCCGGGCTGGCCAGTGGGTCAAACACAGCTGTGGCTGCCTCTTCAGTAGAATTATGGCTAAGGAAACAATACAGCAGCAGTGCCACGTCAATTTTGAGAAGTGGGAAAATGCCTTTTAACAGAACTCCCCCAAGGGTTCTTTATCAGAAAAGTCCACGTTATTTTTTTTTCAATCAAAATATCCCCTTTTTTTCTTTTTTTTTTTTTTCCCCAAAAAAGTAGTCTTGTCCTAAGAAGAAAACCCTCAGCTGGACTATTCTGAGATACGGTGTAAGACCAGAGCTGGTTCCAGAGGGTATCACTCCAGGTGTTAACACACCACAGTTTGCATGTGCAACTCCAGTCAGCACTCACCATTGCTGTCTTTAAATCTTGTTTATTTGGTTAATTTTAGACAAATTCTTATCTGAAAATATTGTATCCTTCCCTTGGTAAGCAGGGTCTTTTTCTGTTGGTTAACATTTTGTCTTCAAATTGTACCTAGAAATAGTCTGTCTTCATAAAGACTTCATAATTATCTCATACCTGATATAAATATGTCTCCTCCTACTTTTTTTTTTTCATTTGTTCTCCATTTTAATTCTCCATTGTTCATTTAGGCAGCATTCATTATTAGTTCTCAAATAAAAATAGCTTCTATTTTGTAACTGCACCAAGTGTCACGGTTGATGAGCAGGCATTTTACTGGGAGTTGGTACCACTTCAACAGTTTTTGCCTTTGCCAATGCCTCCTGGATTCCATATTTATTTCTTCCAGTCTTTTCTTGCACGCACATCATCTTCTAAGTTTCCATAAATAATACATTTCTGCATTTTCCAATACAAAAAGCATAAAAAGCGAAGTATGTGGTCTGAGCAAATAAATAAAAGCAGCTGACAGAGCAGGAAGAGAAAGCGCTGCAGTTTGTCAAAACAGGGTCCCAAGGGCCAGTGCCGAAGTGGTGGTGGGAGGCAAGGGAACGCCGGGCTGATGGCAGCGCCGTGGCCTGGGAACCTTTTAGGTCATCTGTAGTCTCATTTTTGGTGTCAGGCTGCTTTGCCAATGCCTGTGTACCTGCATGAACAGGCTGGCAGCAACAGGAAGCACCTTTATTTTGAAGCGGTGATGGGATCTGAACTTGACTACTTAAAAAAAAAAAAGTGAGAACAGTAATGGCATTATGAACCACACGTATTTCTGCCTGCCACTCAAGCGACTTGACTTGAAACTAGGCACAAAGCATGGTGATTGCTGCTAGAAGTGGCTGCTTGAGGCAGACCCATAAATGCTACTGCAGAGGGCAAAGGCCTTTAATAATCTGCCTGGTTTTGAGATTGAAAAAATATAAAAGCATTTTAATTACAAGGTTTTACAAGATCGTGTGGTGATGCTAAGAGCTGAATATGTCTGTGCACAGCCAGCAGGGAGCTAGGGTGATGTCTGCGGGGACCTGTGGAGTGCAGACAGGAGCAAAGTAAGGGAGGCCACGCGCTCCACACCCATGTCACACCTCGCTTACAGAGGGTGAGTGCGCTCCCCAGAGAGGCTGGAAGCAGCCAGCAGGGATGGAAGGATGGACGCAAGGAACTTGGAGATCACTCAACGGGGATACTTCAGTCAGGGTAGTGCCAAACTGAGTCACCAAAAAACGTCTGTGACATCCCTCAGCTGCTAACATTTTCAGCTGAGACAAGCTGAAGAAGCTAAGGCATGTTTTTTTCTGCAGCAAGCATGTGCATCCACCCCCACAGTTACTCAGGGACAGCCAGGGGACAGCCAGTCCCTTTTTCCTCCTGCCTCTCTTTGGCTTGTAAGCTCCTAGTGGTCTTCTAGTTCCCTTGCTTTCACCAAACGGAGCAAAAAGCCTGCAGCTGGAGAACTGCATTCACTGATACCACAACTGCAACCTGTAAGTTCTGAATTGACATGCAAGAACAATTCAAAAGGTACCTTACCATCTCCAGAGAGCCCCTGAGACATGCTCTTGAAACCTGTGCAAGGATCATAAGCTTAGCCAACTAGGTTGGAGCTTGAGCTAGTTTTAAGTGCAGGAGAAAAAGTACTAAGTAGCTAAAAGTAGGAGAGTTAAAATTAAGAGCTTAACAAATGAAAAAGGTTCTCTGTCTCTCAATTGCTTTCCCTATCTACCTGATTTAAACAAAATGCAGAACCATCAGATGCAAAAGAGCTGGGTGTTGGTCTATGAATTATTAGGAGTGCTCATCTTTGAATCACTTAAGTGACACCAGCTGTCTGCTACCCAACTACTTATATTTCACAAAAGAAAATACATTTGATTTATGTAGTCAGCATCAAACTAAAGTGGCATATGTTCTTAGACAACTGCTGCACAATGAGCTATTTTCTCTGAGTTCACAAAGCACTAAGATTTTTATATAGCCTTCCTCACATGAATGCCCAGCCTCCTGCCCTATTTCATCCCTCGCCTTTGTTACAGCACAATAAGCTCAATTTTATACATTTTACAGCCCCAGTCAATCATAACTCATGTACTTAATGTTACACAAAAAAAAAAAAGAGCTTTCTTCAAGAAGAATCGAAGCCGACAGGAAACTCCAGAGATCGATTAAAATGCTGTGATGATTAGACCTCTATCAACTATTTTGTGTATGTAATGGCGGCACTGAATTTCTGAAATGTAAGTACTCAAACTTTCCATTCAAATAACAGAGCTACCAGCTAAATGATACACAATTATCTGGCTTTATTTGACACCAGAAGAGATGCTACAAAATAGAAAAAGATCTTCAAAGCATTTCTAAAAGAAAGTAGAAATCAATCCTTCTTCCCCTGTCTAACCTTTTGCCATATGAAATTGTCTTACTCCTGCAGTTAAGTACATCAGCAGAGGCTGAAGTTGCAGCATGCTATTCTTAACCTTTCTCCAGATCTCAAGTGGAAGCAGGCTCAGCAGCTGTCTTTTTCTTCGGACTTTTACATCACTGGTACAGAAGGACCCACTCCAAGAGACCATTTTTTTCATGTGGAAAAAGAAAGTCCACACGTGGGGGATCACTGCTGACCCTCATAGCAGTCCTCCGATACAGAGAGAAGACGGCACAAACACGTAACTGCTTAATCAATATTTCTATTCCACAGCTGCTTTTGCATCACTGCTGTGTTTATGTAACATGAAGGAAGAGGCAGCTCCAGAGCAGGAAGCAAAAGCCCACGTAAGAATTTTAGGACTTACATCATGAAACACGGTATTAATGTTTACATTGTAATCATAAACCATCACTATTAAAATCTACAAGTAGAAAGTGAAGTGGTACAAAATTCTGAGCATGATGTGATCTCACTTCTCTACTTTGACAAAACATAAGGTAGTGTTGAGATAACTTCTTCATGTATTTTTCAAGTACTCTTTTTCAGGCACTTCAAGCAAAAGTAGAAATTTAAGTGGGCCTTGTGGCAAAAGTACAGGACAACTATTATGTAGGGATTGTTGACAGTCTCCTACAAACTGGGATACATGCTTATTCTCTTTGAGGGAAACAAACAGAACAGAAGAGATTCAATAGAACGAAGACTTACAAATCGTCACGGCCTTGCAGAACACCTGAAGGCAGCGTGATTACCCATAACGGTCAGCAGCACTATTATGAAATCGGAGTAGTCAGGATTACATTGCATCACAACACGTTATCTTGCAATTACCAGAGAACAGGTATCAATGGCAATGCTCCCACAGGTTGTGAACAGCCCACGGCTGCAGGGCTTTTACAGAACGCCCCCATCACCCCACTCCTTTTTTCCTGGAGGTGCTGCAAGCACAAACACTAATCCCAGTGGCTGCAGGATAGCACTTACTGCTCGCACAAGGAATGTTAACTCAGGCTGAGCAACTGTACATCTGAGGGGAAACCATCCTGAATAATTGCACTGATTGTATGTAAGAAGCAAAGGCATTTGTGTATTTTTTTTAGTCAGTGAAAGATTTCTAATAACATAGATTTATTTTCCCCCACTAATTATATTTCTAGAAATAGATTTGTGAAATGCTAATCATAGCACTTAGCACCACTTCAGAAGCATTCCATTTCAGAAGCAAGTGAAGAGATCCAAATCTCTTCAGAAGAGATTTGGATATTCTGAACCAATCCGTTTTGGATTTTGGAAGGGCGGAGGTAACATCAAGAAATAACAAAACCCCAGATAAGTAAATTTTGCTAGCAGAACATTGCACCTGAGAGCTCGTGTATTAGTTTTAGCTTAATTATACACAAAGTTTTGTGATGTGGAATTGGAGCGTTAAACAAAGATAAATAACAGGACCCTGGACTCAAAACAAAGACGAGTCCCACTCTGTTACAATCCAAGGCACTGCTATGTAACAGCTTCAGTTAATTTTAAATATTTTCGCTGCAATATTTTTGTCAGACCAACAGCATCAGGAGGCCGACTGCAAAAGGTACACTGTCCTGACAATGTACCTAAGGGTGTGCAAGAAAGTCCTTTTCCACGTCCAACCAGTGAACATTCCCTGAGTCATTACATCCACACACCAACAATCCCTCTACTACTATCAGAAGATAAACTTTCAAAGAACAGTAAGCCAGGCTTAACAGGCACCTGACTCTGCCAAAGATACCAAACCATATTTTGGGCCAAGTCACTCCCAAGACAGGTGTATTTGCTTACAATTTAATTTCCTCTAAATCTTCATTGGCAGCTTAATGGGACAAAACAAGGTCAAGGACAGAAAAGGCAGTAAGGCGGTACTCTGCAAGACATAAATGTTAAGTCTTCAGATAAAACTACATTTGGTAAGTGTGTAACAATGAGAACATTAATCAAAATTGGTGATTAAAACCAATTTAGATGTATTTTAAATTGACCAGCCCTTTAGTCGTTACCACCTGAGTAGACGTGAATTCTGTGATGTTACGTGTAGCAGTTTGGCAGAACTTAAATATTGGGACTCAAATTAATGCACAGCTGAATTCACAGGGCAGAGTTATTAAATGTCAATATGAGCTGTTGATGCAACCATACGTAGTGGTCTGTTTCTTTAACCTTTAGACTTTATCAAGTTGGTCAAGACCTTGTCTAGCAGCATAGCAGATTCCAGTCCACAAAGAATAAGAGGGACAACTTCCTTTGGCTTGATTCTTGTGTGAAGACCTGAGCCATTTTTCCAATGGCCAGGACCTCAACCATTTTTCTTGTTTAACTTCCTCTCAGGATGAACAGCTTACTTTAAGATCCTTGGCCCAAGCTGGTGGGCGTAGGGAGTAGCCTGCTTTCTCTGCAGCCTCCTGTCTCCGAAAGGGATGTTGTAAAATCTGTTGTAGAAGGTGAACCTAGAAGCAATTAAAATGAGTAAGTTTTTATACAATATGTTTTCCTGCAAATAAGAAAAGTCTCTGCCACTTCGTATTATGCACCCTCCTGGCTCCAGAAATTGTTCCACGAATTGTTTTAGGATTACTATTAGAATAGTAATACGATAGAATAGGATTATTATTATTATAATTAACACTATTTATAATTAATAGTTAATACTGCTAATATTATTGATAGCATTATTGCTATTATTAGTAGTGATTGGTATGACATGGAACAATGTTGGTCGAAGTGTAATTTGGGTTCAAAGTGCAAACTCAACAATTGTTTCACTAACATTCAGATCAGTTATTAACAAACATATCCGGGAAAAAAATGACTAATTTTACCTCTGAAAAATCATTCAAATTGGCTTTTTGCACTGCTGATTCTGCCATCCAATTTCTAAGCACGTATCTGGGATTAACAGCTGAAAGCAAAAGTAAATCATGATCAATTCAGTTAGACATATTCAACAAAAACAGACCACAGTCATAGAAAAAAATCACTGAAACCATTGGGATGTTTTAATTTGCAGATCAAAAAACATATGAGAAGGAAAAATCATAAAATTATGATTATTATTTAAGGTAAAAAGGAACTATTAAGATATTCATAAAACCGTATGTACTTAGTTTTCCTTAATTCTGTAAAATGAATCAAAAAGTTACCCATAAAAGCCTTCAATGTTGCATTTAGGCTTTTTTTTTTTTTTTAAGAAACCATTTTTCCAACTTTGTTGTTCCTTTTTTTTTTTTTTTTTTTTTTTTTCTGTAATTCACAATTCTTTCCACAACTGTCTGCTGTATCTTTTTTGAAACACCCGTGACGACTGCTCCCTTCTCTGACATGTTCCTGGCTGATTGTGTCTAATTAGTGGTAGGGAGATCATAAGGACCTTGAAAATGAGAATGCTGAATTAGTAACCCCGGCTACATCTTCATGGATGGTAAATAACAGCTTATAAAAAAGGAGCTCTGCCAACCCGTATGCCAAGGAAAATGCTCATAAGCCTACATGCTTTTTATTATCAATTTGCTAGCAGATTGAACATCAACACCACTTTTATTTTTCCTCTGCAATTAAAGCAAAGCATTCTGCTTCAGAAACAGTCTTCCCTTTAATTAATGATCAAAACAATGTTACAGATTAATTGTAACAAATATTTCCAGCTTGCATCATGCATCTTATTTTGACACTAGTCTGCATATTTTCCCAAATTTAGTAGCTGATTTATCCCATGAAGAGATTAATTAGTAATGTCAGAGCCATTAGCACCTATGGCCCGTGATTTATGGGCATAAAAAAAACCCTCATCTGTTCCTTCCCTTTCCACTGATGTCCCAGTAATGTTTTGTATAAATAGATGTTAGTTCAAGCCTCATGTTTTATATAATATGAAATATTTTTTTTTTTTCAAAAAATCAACGCAGCTGTATATTCCTCATGTCCTGGTTTTGGCTGGGAATGGGCACGTGGCTGTGTGGGGCTCAGCTGCCTGCTTGGGTTAAACCTCAACCCTTACAAATTCCCTTACAGATTATTTGAAAGAGAAATTAGAAAAAGCAAAGCATTCATGAAAAATCTCCACCCCATATTTCCCTCTATTAATTCCTGTTGTCAATTTGTTATGATCTTATTTTATTTACAAATAATAGCATATTAAGAGGGGGAGGATCAGAAAAAAATATAATAAGATTAAACTTAATTTATTTCTATTTCTCAACTCACTCTATTCTTGCATCTCCTTGTACTGCTTCTTCAGCTTGCAGACATAACTTGTTTATCCTACCAAGACAATTGACAGCTTTGAGGAAAGCTATGACAAACCTCCTCCGAAGGTTTTGTGGTCAGACAATCGCAGGATTTAAGACTGAAAGCTCCCTGCAGAGAATTAGTGCCTAGCTCAGTGAACGGACTCCTCTGTAATATGCATTGTTTCTTAAAAAGGACCATTTCACCAGCTGACAGACCAGAATTTACTGAAGCTACGTAATCAGTGAAACAACGCTTGCATGATTATTTTATGTCTCACAATGCAACTAAATTCTTTATGTTTGGAGCTGAATGATAGCCGTTTTAAGCCACAGGACTTGACATAAAGCAGCATTGCACAATGGGTCTTCATGTTAATTAGAAAAGTAAAGGGCAGAAATCACTCTCTGCTCAAGTCCTGTACCCTGACCACTCACATTCCTGCCAGCAGAGGGAATGTGAAGCTCTTTGACAAGACGAGATGCGGGTTGAAACCAGCAGCACTTCATCTCAGATGACACTGTCACTTACTAAACAAGCACAAAGCCAGACAAACGTCCTCCCTTAGAATCACAGAATATCCCAAGCTGGAAGGGACCCACAAGCATCATCGAGTCCAACTCCTGGGTCCCCAAAGACCACCCAAAAAGAATCAAACCATATTTCTGAAAGCATGGTCCAAATGCTTCCTTATCACGTTCCTCCATCATAAAAGCTGTCCAGGTCATATAATAACACTCAGGCACTGTGTCCAGGTTAATTGCTTGAGAATTAAGAGTGGAGTGAAATGCAATGCATACAGATAGAAGAATTCTTATTTTACATGTTAGCGTTGTGCTGTATGACCTTACAGAAATTAAATGCTGACAAATAGGATTGGCCACTGGGAACCCTGATCACCCCTCACATAGCCATAACAACACCCTGCCCTAGCCACCAAAAAAAGTCTTGGCAAAGTAATTTGCTCTGGCTGAGCATTCGATTTAATCCTGTACATGGATTTTCAGTAGTTAAGTGTGACAACAATGTAAAAAGAATACTAAAAGGTGGAGAAGTGAACATATGACTCATACAAAAATGGTAACTCACATTAAAACCATAACTCATATTAGTTAAGAGAATATTTGTCCCAAAAATATATTCTTAAAAATTGCAAATTGACAAGTTTCACAGTGGAGTTAAAAATACCTGTAACTGACACAACTGACAAGATAATTATGAAAGAAGAAGGTAAGTCAGATTAGAAAAGGACAAAGCATAAGAAATTTGGTGCCCTAACAAGTATTTTATGATCTGGTCTACACTTTTTTTTTTCTCTTTTTAACATATTTCTTTTGTATTCCATTAAATACAATGACAGACTTGTATTGGGACTGAGATTGTCAAAACTTTTTGATCAACTCCTAAGGAACTAATTGTATGTAGTACACGATAAAGTGCTACTAAACTAAAAACTAAGTGAAGAGAGAAAAAAAGAATTTTTTTCAGACTGGGCTCTGCTTACAGAGGCCAATACAGGAGGGCAGGAGGTGCTCCAGGCACAAAGCAGCAGTTCCCCTGCGGCCTGTGGAGAGGCCCCTGGTGGAGCAGGCTGTCCCCCTGCAGCCCATGGGTCCCACATGGAGCAGATCTCCACGCTGCAGCCCCCCCCTGTAGAGGAGCCCCCAGTGGAGCAGGTGGATGTGGCCTGGAGCCAGATTCGCCACGCATGTTGTATTGACAAGGGGCAGCTGGTAAAGGAAATACTTTAAAAAAATCCCATTTCAAGAGACCATAACAGGTGTCTAAGAGATCTACAAAAATGTATGAATGTAAAAGAAAATAACTTTTTAAAAAACTTCAGTCACACTGTAAAATGGAGACACTAGCAAAAATGTAACAAAGTCTGTTGATCTTTTAAAAGAAAAAATACAATTTTAAAAGAAAACAATAACAAATTGACCTCAGTAGCCTGTCAGGAATTTCTGCTTGCTCTGTTGCAGGAACATGGAGTGATGGCAGATTATATGGAATTTATCTAATTTAACCATGAATATTTGCATATCAAGCTTCAGTCTGCTACCAAAGCTGAGGCCAGTAGCAGAAGTGTGGTCCTGGGGGGAAAGCCTTTTTCTTGTTTTGTCTGTCTCCAATGCCATAAAATCCCCTCAGATGTGTGTGGATAAACGTGATGCTGGTTTGCAGAAAATCTTCCCAAACTGGGAGTCCTTCTGATTTGGAATGAATACTCAGAATATCCTAACTTCTCTAAAAGCAGATTCACAAAAACATAGAAAAAGAAAAATAACAGAAATTAAAAGTGTGTTTAGATGGCTTTCAGCATTAAATTTTAGCAAAGGAAAGCAGGGAAGCTGGGAACTTCAAAATAGTAGTTGAGCTAAAAGCTTTGAGTTCCACAGCTGAAACTTCCCAACCATACCAAAATACAAATAATAAAACAAGCCTTTCTTCTTGGTATCTGTTCTCATACTAACTTTGTAAAAATGCACGTAAAATTGTAAGAAGCATTCTTAAAAACGTATGGAGCATTAGGTAGAAAATGTGCACGAAAACAGTTTGTTACTATCTTATTACTGAAACTCAGTGCTATCTCCTGCCATTTCCTACAAAATCAATTACAGCTTTTGAACAAAGCAGCCAATCAATATCTAATGAAAGAGTGCAGCCATTTCCATTACAGATCTGAATAAAGTACCTGCAAAGTAGAATAACAATGAAGCTTATGCTACCTCTTGTGAAGAATTTGACAGATTCTGCATTCACTTCACTCCCCTTTGTCCAGAAATTTTCAGTTGTCACTGTCTATTGTAGGCAAATTTCACAAGTTCCCCACAGCTTATACAAATCCAAAAAAGAAAAAAGCCTCTCTCTGGATAACTTCTAGAATTTCATATTCGCTGTTTGTGCTGTGATAGACAGCTATATATCTTTACCTTTTTGCATTTACAGTAACTTGGTGAATTAAAGTAAATGGGATATCTAATCATTCAAAACCACACCTTCCTTTCTTGATTGTACTTTCAAAAGTATGGAGTTTTTTTCTCCAGGTGCACAAAAAAAACAACAGTGGTTGTCTATCAGAAACATGAATTCTTTGTAATATGTAGAGAGGATATGCACATGTTTGAACTTTTGGATAAATCCTAGCCCATTGAGCCAATACAGGATGGCTATTGACTATTTCTTGATTTTATCAAAGTTTCGTTATTGGAGAAGAACAATGTTCTCAGCAACGCAAACTGTTACGATCACAGACTGCTAAAGAAAGGAAGATTCAAGGAAAAGAGAATGGACTCAAGAAAGCAGATCTAGCTGAAGTGGAAGGGCATCTCTCACAAGGAAATAAACCCTAGGGGTCTTTTAACAGAGCACCCTATGTTGCAATGAAACATTAAATTTGGATAGCAGCCAGAACACATCCACCAGTTCGGGACACTAAGGTGAAGCCAAACTTGAGACATCACAAAATACTGACAATCAGGTCACATTTTAGTTCTCCTCAAAAGGAAAAAAACATTAACATTAACAGTAAAGCAACCTAAGTGCGAAGTTAGTTGCCACCTCTAAGCATATGACTTCCTCTGGATTGTTTTACTTACCTGTCATTCTTTTTCTTCTCTTGACGTCTGTATCACCCTTGTTACTAAATATAAAAACAAACAAAAAAAAAGTAATTGTGAGTGTTGCTCATTTACATTTTTCTCATTCACATCACTCTTCACCTTTTTACTACAATAACCATCTACTATTAACAGACAGTAAGTCAGTAATTCCACTATTTGAACCGCAAGAACTGATCAAACACTAACCGGTGTATTTATTTTTCTCTTGTGTTTCTTCTTACCCTTTTTCAAGGTATTAGCCATGAAGTATTCAGTTTCCTTTTCAGAACTTTCACACATACTTCTTCTGTGTTTCCTCAAAAAAGTTCTGCATCCATTCTGCAATAGCTGTCTGCAATTCCCATAATGAATATATTCCAAATAGCTTTTGTTTCCTACTGCAGGTGTGTGTGTATATAGATAGATAGATAGATAGATAGATAGATAGATTTACCACATACTCTTGAAGTTGTAATATTAGGCAAATAATAATAGGCAAATATTACGTAGTTACGTGTCAAACATAACTGACACACGTGCTTCCAGTGGATTTTGTAATTATTAAATCATTAAGTACAGCTTTGATAACACTGAACATGACTAACACATTAGACTTGGGAAAAACTGCACTTTCTTGTAGGTTTTGTATATTGTATTAATGTTTTACTTAAGAATTGTATTTACTGACTAAAATTTCCAAGTACCCAATATGTACTTCTTTCCACTAGTCAGCCATGCATAGCATATATGACTATGAAGAACGCATGCAGTCTTTATGGATTTAAGATACAAGAATTGGTAGGAAGTTCTAACATGAATGTCCTTATCCACACAACCACAGTGGCATCCCACCACAGTCTGCATATTCACAGCTATGCAACTTCCACCCCAAGTCATCCTAAGGCAGTAATAGTATACAGTAAAAAAAAAACGTATTTCCAGTAATTAAACACTATCCACTCTTCTTTATTTGCACAAACTGAATTTCATATTCTAAGAATTTTATAGAACTGGTATTTTAACAAGAGCAATTAACTCAAGAAATCTGATCAAATGTTCACCAAAAGATGCCAAAAACAGACAACTCCTCCCATATCATTTTTATGTACTTGTGTCAAATCAGAACTATAATGGTAATTGAAGAAGCTAGCATAATCTAGAACCATAAAGACAAAAAAGGCATTACAAATCATGTCTAGTCTAGCTTACCAGTCCCAATAAGGACTACAGAAAACACTGTAGATTCTGGCATTCTTGCAAATACACAGTTGGTGTCATTTTTAAACATGAAACTCCAGCAGACTTACTGTTCTAATCGCAAGAGGTACATAGAGACCCATTCCGAAAATAACTTGTGTTTACCCAGATCCTGGAGAGCCCAGAACTCCTGGAGAGAAAGAAAGAGTTAATCACAGATAACAGAATTTTGTTACTGTTAAGCAAAAACTGATGTGAGCAAATTTTAAGAGGATATAAAGGAGAATCATGTAATGAATCCCCAAGGATTTCTTTGCCCAAAATTCTACTAGCATCTTTATTTTCTATTTAGATTACTTAGCATGATATATCTGTATTATTTCATCTCTGCTACAGCAAATTCTACGTGAATACCTCCAGCTCTCAACCCCTGTTTTTCTTTAGCTTACATGCTTTATTTTCCTTGTTATTTAACTATAGGTATCACTCCCTTCTGTTCTTTGTACGTTAGAAGTTAGGGAAAGGCAGTGGAGCTTCCCAGGAAAAGTAAACATTCCCCACATTATATCAGGGCTCTGTCCAACCTGATTTACTCGCTTGATATTGAGTGTTCCTAAAATGGGGTGCCTTTATTAATTAATACCTCAGGGATGTGGAGCTCCTTTAACTGGTCTTCAGTAATTTCACTCAGCTCTCGAAACGTCATTGTAAAGTCAGCCCTCCTATCTTCCATGAGCTAGTGAAATAAAGATATTTCTATCAGTGTTTTTTTAAAGCACAAGGTATAAATTCAGATGTTTGCCAACAAGATTAGCAAACCAAACTCACTTTTAGGAGGAAACCAATCAAATAGTTGTCATTCTCATCGTCCCCAAGGAGACCCAGTTTTGCTCTGAACAATTCTGTAAAACTAAACATAGCAATACAGTAAGGAAATTGTCACATAACATGATTTGTAGTATTGTGACTACAGGGAGGGAAGTTCTAGAACTGCGTACCGGGTATAATAGTGTTGACCATATCCCTCCAGAACCTGGGAAGCTCTGCAAGAATAAACGAAACATCAAATTCTATGGAATTACAGCACTACTGTGGGTGCAACCCTACTGTACACTAAGCAATAAAAACTTCTGTCTGGTATCTCACAAACATCAATATGCTGAATCTGAATCAACTGGGATCTGTAGTGGGAAAAAGACTGAGGGGAAACAATTTAACAGACAACGAATATATCAACAGCTGTTGCAAAGAAGAAAAATGCAATCTGTCTTTCATATGAGCAAGAAATATCATGAGTATAAACTGCATGAAAGAGTCGTATCAGGAATCTTTACAAAAGGATATTAAAATACTACTCCATAATTTCAGGAGGCTGTATGATCTTCATAAGTAAGCACCTTAAAGAATAAGCTAGATGAACCTATAAAAGAAAACTACAGGCAAGGATCCTGCTTAGGGGAAGAAGAATAGCCCCCACAATATCTAGGATGTCCTTCTAGCTGTTTTTTGCTATTATTTATGATTACTGAAAAACTTTCTCCCCTCCCTCTACCTTATTCTGAACAATAATTAATTCAGAATCAATTTTCACTTAGAAAAAAATGACTTAGAAAAAAAAACTAATCCCTTTCTTTCCTATGCATACAGTGATTAGGTGTCTCCCATCTCACTAGTTCTTTTAAGCGTTTAGATATTTTAATGATTACTTACAGCTGCTTTTGCCTGGGATCCAATAAAGGTTTTAGAGCTTGTAACAGCTTGTTCAGATTAAAGAGCCCAACATTTGCCTGGTTTCCTATTTTATACCTCCCTTCATCATCAGATGTGTTTGGAACAAAATCTGTTTCAAACAAAACATTACTTTTCCCCAACAGAGTAATTACAAAAACAATCAATGTTAAAATATTGAACTACAGTCAATCTTATCAATCACAATAAATTAATAAAAGTGCTGAAGATATTGAAATATTTAAACTTAGATCACAAGGATACTTATTTACAGTGGATTAACTCAGGATCTAATATTTGCAAATCTAGAAGTACATACTTCACAGACACATTTCCATATGTCGTAGGCGGCATTTTCCAACTTGAATATACAAAGTAAATTCAGATGTTTAAACATTTTTAACACTAAAAATGTATAAAAACATATGCAATGTTTTCACTAAATCTAGTGCTACTATTAAGTACAAAAACTAAGCAAATAATTGTACAACTAAATTATGGATTTACTGATAATTTTGGAAAAGTAACACATACAAACTTGCATTACAAAAAATAAGCCACCTGAACAGGACTTTGGTTGAATAAGCAAGTTTTACGTATTCATTTATGAAAAATTACAGCTAACACATTCAAGAAAAGAAATCCATATTTGTGAGATAAATGTGTGATAGGTCAGCTACAGGGTGTTCAGAAGTTAAATGTACACATATCTACAGCATCAGTCGCAGAACAGATGCAGTATGAATCGCCTGTCCAGATCAAAAACAGATAAGCTGATCAATGCATACTGCATTGCCTGAAACCTCAGAGGACATCAATACCAACCAGCACTAAGGAGGAGACCTGTGACACATCTGTCAGGTCTGCAGATCCGTTCAGATCTGAATCTGAACGCTGTAAAGCATTTCATCCAGCTCTAGGGTGCAGTGGGTCTGGCTAGGATGGAGCTAATTTTCTTCATGGCAGCCTGTCTGTTGCTGTGCTTTAGGTTTATGACTAAAACCGTATCGACAACACACCAAGGCTTTAGCTACTGCTGAGCAGCGCACAGCATCAAGGCCTTCTCTATTCTCACTCTGCCCTCCCGGCAAGTTAGGCTAGGGATAAGCAAGAGGCTGAGAGGTGACACGGTCAGGCTGGATGACACCAACTGATCAAAAAGATATTCCATGCCACATAATTCATCTCTGCCTATGGCAGTGGGCTTGGAGTTAATTTTTAAGGTCCTTTCCAACCCAAGCCATTCTCTGATTCATGTCATATTCAGCAATAAGAACTGGGGAGTGCTCTTTCCAAGGTACTGCTTGGGGACAGTTGGGGACAGTCTGCTGGTGCGAGCGACTGTCTTGCATCACTTGTGTTCTCCTCTCCTTTTTTTTTTCCTCTTCACTTATTAAACTGTCTTTAAGTTGACCACAAGTTTTTTCTCACCCATGCTCTTCCAATTCTCTCTCTCGCCCTGTAGCAGTGGGAAATGAATGAGTGGCTGGTGGGGGCTTAATTGATGCCTGGGGTCAACTCACCATAAAAGACAAGATCAGAAGCCAGAATAGACCTGTTTTCTCAATACAGTAGAAGTCATATAAAATCTACTCTCATGGGATTTCCTTAATTTGTGGCTGTAATCTCATGAAAACAGATTATGAAATAAACATTAGTGGTTCTGAAGCTTACTCAGATGAAAGTTCCAAACAATAATCAAATGTAACACATTTATGTACGTACTAGACCTACACCTATCGATCTCAGACTGACTGAGTTCATACTTTCAAATAAAAGGGTAGATTTGATTTCTTTTTCTCCAATATATAATTAGCTGCTGTGACTACAAACCCAGAGCATAATGCATACAAAGTTGTATCCAATTTTTGGCATAGGCCCCTTATAGAGATGCAATATTTTTTTTTTTTTGGGGGGGTGTCTATTATGGCACCTATTCAAATGAAGAAATCCATTAGGAAACATTCTTCATGAAAACGGGTTTAATAGTGACATTTCACTTTTAGACTTCTAGCACTTGAAACACAACCTGCACAGTGTATTATAAACTGGCCTTTGGTTTATTTTTCCCCTAAAATTCTTCAAACAATACACATGCTTGGGATTTTTCTGCTAACAACAATGGACATTTTCATGCACACAGAAATTACATAAACTAATATGACATTTATTTTAAGTCAAAAATAATATTTAAATATGGGTGCATGCTACACTCACTTGGATCATAGGAGTCCATAAATCCAAACGGACCATAATCTATTGTTATGGATAATAAGCTGAAGTTATCTGTATTGCACACACCTACAATTAAACAACAAGGAAAAACAAAAGTTAACGTTCTACCTGAACTCTGTAGTCTCTAGAAGATTTCCTGTGAAATCAATCCAACAAATCTAGATAACATTGTAGCAGTTACCTTTAAGAAAACAGATTCAGGAAAATAAACTTGTCTCTTGTATTCTTGACCTGGCAGGCATTTAAAGTATGAACACTAGTTTTTGCTACATTATCTTGCATCTGGTTTTTATACCTAGATGGCACTGTTTCCTTCTCCATTCAGCACAACGCTGTTTTGAAACAGCATCTTGCACAACTTGTCAGTTAGCTTCTTCTTTCCAAGTTGATGGCATGCTGTATTAGCAACACAATGCTCTTTTATTTTTCATAATGTAAATCTGAAACAAAGGTGGACAGCACTCTATTCTATACACTATAAAAGAACGGCTTTTTATGCAGATGAATCAAATTCCCAGCAACACATGACATCGATACATGGTCTTTGTACATCAGACATCCACAACAATTCTGAGAAGCCCATATGCTTGTTCTGTTCCTGGCTTCTGTCAGATCCAGTCATGCTTTGAAAAATCAGGAAGTTCTCTCTGTTATGAAAAGAACTCTTCAGTATTAATGCACAACAGATACTGCTGCAGGCACAGACATCAGAAGGACTGAAGAACAAAGTGACAAACGAAAGCCATCTTTAAGTATACAACTATAAAGAGTCACTCTCATAAAGCCAATACAGTGACAACATCTACTGCTGCTTACCATGTGCAAAACCCACAGACATCCACAATGCAATCAAATTTGCAGTCTCTGATACGACTGTAGAAAAAAATTCCTAAAATGAAATACACATTTTAATTTAAATAAAACTACGGAATACAATGAATAATGTAAACATTTGATTCACTTTAGAAATACTTAATACATTCTGGTTTTAAACAGGTATCTTTGATCTCTGTCAGTTGGGACTGGTAATTCACATTCTAAATGATGTGACTGCAAAACAACCTTATCCAGCAAAGACTATAATTAAATAGCTATGATAAGATATACTAAAAGAAATTTAAAAGACCTAAAAAGAAATAAAGACACAATATATACTATTTTTATATTAGGAAAAATGTAAGTGATCCCATCATGACCACAGCTCACTTGAAGCCTGGGCAGTAAGAGAACAAGAAGTAATGGAAAATGGGAGCTTCCCAATAAACATTTCCATAATCAAAAGTAGTGAAAAAAAGAATGTTCATATTTGATTTTGAGAAAAACAACAAGAAGCAGGTTTTCGTTGTTAGTGGTTTTGTTTGGTTTGGTTTCTTTTGTGTGGTGTTTTTTGTTGGTTTTTTTTTTTTGGAAGAGTAAAAATTGCTTTTGCTAATAAAACCAGGAAACTTAATTCTACTTTTAAAACCCTATAAACTGAAAAATTAAATAGCTTTGTATAATTTTTGTTCATGTGGTTGTGGAAAATAAAAATAGCTTCACACAGCTAATAAAAAAAAAGACTTACCAGATATCGATCTGAATCATTCACAGCTATTAATGGAAAATGTTCCTGGATGATAAAATCAAGCAATCTCCTGTAATATGAGATGCAGAATTCATTACATAAAACAGGTACTTTTAGAACTGATCATTCAAAATTCTTACCTTTGAACAGATAATGCTGATCTACAGCCTGCTGCAAACAGGTATTAGAAAACCTAATCTATTTACTCCTGTAAGTTTTGGATTAAGCCCTTCCAAAAAGTTGAAGATAAAAGCTAATGTTCCAGTTACAAACATGACTGGAGACTGCCACAATGTAACCCCATGTGTTACATTTCCAGAGCACATTAGGACCTGGTTTAGCATACTGTAATATCAATCTTTTAGGAAAAAAATAATTTGTAGATAAGAAAAAAAATGTATCACTACAAGGAATGACTGCAGATCAGAATATTCCACAAAGAAAAAAATTATATCTGAATTCTTAGGAAGTACGGTTACTTGACACATTAACTGGCCATCAACATGTTCATTAAATCCCACAGGACACAAACATTTTAATTAAAGAAAAAGAAAATTACAGTGTTGTGTCACCTTAAATTCAGTTCCTTAATTCAGTCTTTCACTTTACAACAAAACACTGCTGTGAGGTTTCAAAAAAGAGAAAGAAAGACAGCGTGAAGTCATTCAGGAAGTTATCTTGAATTATCTGTTAATACAATATACAACAGCTGCTACTTCTCTTTCTTGATTTTAATCACCCCAAAACAATTTCTGTTGCAAGTGATTATCAACCAGCACAGTACTCCTACGGGGGAATGACCAACATTAAAGGAGTTAAAATAGAACAAAAAAATTGCCTTGCTAATTGCCTGAGATGGAATAAAGTAAATTAATATTGCTAAAAGGCTTAAAGCTGTGCAATAAATTCTTACCTAATATGATTCTCTGGTTATATGTGTTCCTTAAAAGCACAGCTTATACAACAAACTCATGCTAGTGACTTATTTCACAATTCTGCTAATTTAACTTCACAGAAAACTGAGAAATCTAGGGTATTAGTCACCGAACTTACAACTGAACAAACAACTCCCCATTCCTCCCAATGCTTAGTTATCAACCTATTTTAGCTATAATACCTTTCTCATTTTATAAGATCCTGGCCTTAAAAAATAGGTAAGGGATTTTATCTGTGACTTTGTATCTTTTGCATATTTGTAAAAAAAAAACATCGTTATCTTTCTGAATTATGCAGTCTTCCTTTCTAAATAACTTTTGCCTAAATTTCAACTGTACATATGCATTCCAATATATATTTAATTATTAAGAAAACTAAAAGAATAGTTACAATGAAGATTAAAATCAAACCTTTGTAAGTCCAGTTCCCCAGAATGAGCTAAGATTTCTAACGATCCTATACGAAACCACGATTTGGCAAGACGTAGCACTATAGCACCTTAAACATAGACACATGTTTAAATGTAAACAGAGTATCAGCAAAACAAATTAATCCCACAGTAAAAGCCATTATATGTCGTTTCTATAGACAAATAATTTATATACGCATAGTTAAACATGTATTTCTGTAAGTATGCTCAATGCATAACAGATGAATACGTAGAATGCTACTTTACTGTATGCTAATGATAAAGCTTCATTTGCTGGAAAGCAATTAGTATTTTTTACTCCTCCACATCTTCGTTTGTTCACTAGGATACACTATACCAGCAAACACAAGCAAAACTCTGATATTAACTTTAGAATTCCCCCAGAGATGCTAGCAACAAAGAAAGAACCAACATAAATCATTTCTGATTTTTCCCCATGCTGTGCCATCCGGCTCCGTTTCAGAACTGGTTTAGAGGATGGAGCAATGGTGCAGCCATGGCAGCATTCCCATATAGTATTGCTAACAGAATGATGGAAATTTCCCCTAGATTTCAATATCATTTTTGTAACGGCATGTGAAAAAAAAATAAATTCCAGCAACACATATGCCACAAACACAGCAAGTCTGTTCATAGGGCTTCGTTTCTTTATCTAAGTTATGTTTGGGACCGACTTTCTTGGGAAAGGTTTTCTATCTCAATAAATGAAATGAAGACTATCTCACACTTTTATTACACATATATGGCATTAAAGTTGATTTTTGCAATGACGAATTAAATTACAGTATTGCATCATATTATTCTGAAATGTGTTCAATACCTCTCTCTTTCTTAATATTTCCATTGTAAAACTGGTCTCTCCACACTTCATCGTCACTTACAACTAAGCTGTAAGAAACAAGAAATGAAAATTAAAAGGTTACCATAGGAAAGATAATTTTTATTGGCGATTGAGTGATATTTCATATAATATTTTTTTTTTTAGAAAAAAAGATCTTTTTTTTCTTGAAAAAAAAAAAAAGGTTTGTTTTCACAAATAACACACAGCAAACAGTAAAGCTGAGGCTCACCAAGCTTTGTTAGCAAGATGCATTTCTTTTTTAAGTTGCCCACAGTCGCGTTCAGTAAACGTACTGCATTCATTTGGAACTTCTGTGACTGATTAGTGTGATGATAACACTGTGAAGTCACAAGTCTCTTGAGGACAACAGCAAAATTAGAAAGACAGAGAAATTAGAAGCCAAATTGTTGCATCAGATGGAGGCTGCCCTTTGTATGAGCCAAAACTGTTGTTTCAGTAACCTCGGGCACAGATCTGGGCTCCTTAGCAATCAGGAGCTCTGCAAATAGTATCAATGCACAAAGAAAGGCATAATTTTGATGAAGCATTATAATTTTTCCTTTCATCTTCACTGCTACTTGTACTTGAATTTTTAAAAACAATATCCCCCTTTCAATTGCCTTAAAATTCTGCATATCCTATGCATTTTCACATTTATCTAAATATTGAGATTTGCAAGTGCTTGGAAAATGACCCATTTTGCTTGCTCTAAAACACGTCACAATTTACCCTCATCTTACAAATAAAATATGTAATTTCACTCTATTTTCTTTTATTATCAGAAAAAAAGAAAATTGCATCAATCAGCACAAACCATGCAAAGGAACTATTTTCTCCTGAAGTTAATGTGTAGGAAGTTTCTCTCCAAAGCAACTCAGATTACACAAACCATTCAGCAGAAGGAATGCTTGGTGCTGTCTTTTGAAGGAAATGTTCTCCTTTCAATAGGGGAAGATACCTCTTGTTTAAGAGCCTAGCAGCAGGAAAAAATACCTTATTTTGTATAATTATTTTTTGCTTGCTGATAATTGAAAAAGGTCTTTCTATTCAGAATAGCTGGATGGCACAGTACTGGAAATTTAATGCAACTAAGTAAAGGTAACTTTTAGGTAGCTGAAGACCGTACAGAAAACAGAACCAAAACTTCCTTAGAGGAACACAGAAGAGGACAGCAGGCAAATCTAATACTCCACTCATAAATACAACTGAAGACAGTCAAGAGTTGAAACAACTCCCAAGCGTTTAATTTCAACAGGTTACAAAATAGTTTTTACAGACTTTAGCATCAAGATTTTGGAAAAAAAATTAGTTGGACCAAAAATGTGGGGTATGCATATCCACATAAATATGCATGAACAAATCACTAGAAGGAATAATTTGTCTGAATTCTTACAATAGTAAGAATCAACAGTAACTGTGGCTTTGAAACTATACTGTAATTCTTTTCTGTATTTCTGAAGGCATCTGGTAGCTATCCAAAATGAGTGTTCTCTATCAACTGCAAAGAAAAGGCTGTATTGTTCCAAAGGCAGGAGGGAAGAAAATATATAGAAATTAAAATATCAAAAGTATTCCTCTGCAAACAATTAAAAATATATCAGATAAAATACCGGAGGCTGTAGGGTGGTTTGCTTACACTTCCACTCTCGGGTGCTGCTGCTAATACTGGAGCAACATTAGGAAATTTTTTCCAGATAAGATTGTTTTGGAAACATCTAATGATTGGTATGTCTGTAAGAGTAAGTATAAGAAGTGCTGACGTAAGTGAGATGGAAGAATTGATCTTAATTGAGGAAGATTGATCCTAATCAATCAAGAAAATCAAAACAATGAAGAAGATTGATTTTAAATTGATCAAGAAAATAAAAAAAAATCAAAAGAGGGAATGAACCCCAGGCACTAAAACACCAGCATGTACATCAGAGCACTAGGAGAGAGTGGTCAGAATAATAATGTTACTCAGTTCTACTGTTCTGAACAGAACTCTGCCAAAAGGGTTGTTTCTTTTTGACTGTGTAACTTAGCACACTTTCTGCCAAATTCTTACAGAATACCAACACTTTTCTTATTGCTGACAAAAATAAAATAAAATAAAAATCCAATGGGAGAATATCATTTTGTAAGTTACTAATACAAGTTAACGGACGAGCAACACTTAAGAGCTGGTCAGGTAACTGAGCAGCCACGTAAAGATACTTACATTACCACTATAAAATAGTTTTCAAATGGCCCCTGAAATTTATAAGTACCATTACTTGTTCAGCAGCAGACCAGATGTATGTTCAACCACAGGAAACAGAGCACTGAAACTGCTGTTACATCAGAGAAGCTGGAACAGCTCTCACAGAAGGATGGAGGGACTACATCCCACCCCAAGCTCTGCCGAAAGGGTTAGACTTTACTCTCCCAAGCATCCTGCATGCTGTTGTGCATGACCACCAAGCATTATATACATATTGGCTTACTTTTTTTGACCTAGCCCACAAGACTGCTAACTAGTAGTCCCAGTATGTGACTAAAATGGTACCAGACGAGGAAGCGTTCTATATCTGGCAGTACAGTCATAAGCTCCAGCACCCCATTGGGAACACAGTACTTGAAATTAATAGAGCAAACCAACCTGCTGGGTGTTCTGGGATAAGCTGTAAGGCTTCTCCCCACACTTCTGCCAAGACTTGACAAGAAGTCTAAGCGAATCTCACCCGCCTCAGTACTACAGCTCCCCATTGGGAAGAATATGGATATCAGCTGGGGTTTTTCCAAATGAAGTCTTGCGAACAGTTTGGGGAGCCTGTACAGCAGTTAAGAGAGCCAGGCATTTAACCAATTTGCCAGCAGAGAACTAAAGCACACTGTGTACTCAACAGAATTGGTGCACTGTTAAGGAGTAATTTCATATTGTTTCGCACTGAGCAATTTGTTGAGACGACACCAAAGAAAGGACGCAACCTTGCCAGATGCTTTCCTGCTGATACTCGGGCAGATTTAACATTTTGCATCAATAGCTAACAGCAAAGGGTCTCAAGGTGAAGTCAGTGAATAAACCATCAAAAATGTCATTTACAAACACAGCACTTCAACAGAGCACATGTGTTAGAATTAATGCTAGAGAGATTTGCAGGCACTTTGCAAATATAGAAACCTAGCCATGAGGCAGCTGAGTACTGGCCTTTTCTGAAGAACATTTACTTCTCTAAAGCTTGAAATTCCGGAGTACAGACATGAGATCCCTTGGAACACAAAATAAACTTGGCATTTTAAACACAATCATCTGAAAAATTCAGTTCACTTCATTCTGAGAAGGTCATCCAAATGAGTGAATTTATTAGTCTTCTTTGGTTCAGACAGAATTAGTTTTAAATGAATTTTTAATGCAATCTCCGTCTCTGCTCAAGGGGTGTTGTATAAATAAGGAATTGGGAGCAACTACCTACACTCAATACTACCTCCAATATTAGTATCTATTTACCAGGCAATTTTTCCTACCAATCTTAAAAATTGCAACTGCATGACTATGACAATACAGAAATAGCTACTTTCAACATTTTCCAACTTGGCCAAATACTTAACTTTAGCCTAATAACAGACTCATTGTAAAATGTAAAAGACCATGTAAAATTTTTTAATAGACTCATTGATTATCCTCATACACTAAAGGTGATAGTATTATGTAGAGAGCTGGAATCTAGCCCTGCTGGTTTTACAAGCCTTTCTGGTGAACAAGAAGAGAAGAACCTTTTTTTTTTTTTTTAAGAGAAGAAACTCAGATTGCAGTACCATAAAACCTGGGAAGGGGAGTTAGTGTCAGATACAATCACTCAAACTAATTTTCACTTCTTACTTTCTCCACAAATGAGCTAGATTTCATATTAAGGTAATTTAGTTATGACAGTCTTACAAGCGCACAGCAACTGCTCACCAAAATGCAAAGACAGTACATAATATAGTATTTAAACAAAGTAATATTTTAAAGCATACCAAGGATAAAAGTGAATGGATAAATGGCTGGAGCTTGTTATTACTAGGAAGTTTTATCCACCAATCTAAGAAACTCTTCTGATTGCATACAGGCAAAAAGAAAGATGAGTCCTGGAAAACAGCTGTCCTGTTTTATGGATGCTCAGTGAAACTGAGAGACAAAATTGCCTTTAAATAAGGATATTGTGAAAAAGAAAAGAAAAATACCTGGCAGCTCTGCTTGTTGGAATTCCAAGATAGTGCATAGCCTCACTACACAAAAATTCTCGCACAGAAGAGCGAAGCACAGCTCTTCCATCACCATTCCTACAAAGAACAAAGAAATAAGAAATCAGTCATAAGATCTATGCAAATCTAAAAAAAAGAAAACATCTAGGTATTTATGAATTAACTGCAACTCACCTGGAGTATGGGGTCTTTCCTGAGCCCTTTAACTGGAGTTCCCACCTCTCACCATGCCTGCAAAAATACCTTTAGAGTTTCTGACAATACATCTTGGGGTTTGCATGAATCAGCTACACAGAATACAGAAGTGAATCAGTCTTTTCAAAAAATACCGCACCTGTTTGTATATACTCCGATCAAGTGAGCTCTTCCATCACCCAGCTGACCTGCCCAGCTACCAAACTGACAAAAATGAAAACCACATCATTATCTTCTATCGATCATGGCTGTTATACTTAACAGTACAAATCACATGCAGGTTCACTGTGATCTATACAATGCAACAGGTTTGCTCGGGTAGCAACTTAGATATTGATCCCTAAGGCTGTATTTCCACACTCACATCAACAACAAATTAGAAAGCCATGGAAAAAAAGTAATATGAGTAATTACAATTTTTTCCCCCTCTAACTTTCAGCTTCCAGTCTCTTTTATATAAGAAGGTTTTTAACTGACATGTTTTGTAATATGTATAAATATATATATGCTTTTTTTTTTTGACTGGAAATTACACATCAAATTCTGTCACTCTTTTCCATGAACAGTTTTATCTATTTCAATGAAATTTAACACTTATTAATCATGCTATTGCTGAATTCAGTGAGGCTCTGACCTTTTTCACTCCTCTGAGCTGGTAATACCTATCACAAATCAGAGCTTGTCAGGCTGCAGGGGTGCAAAGCAGACTCTGCAGGTAACAAAAGTTAAGAGGATAATTTGCTTCTGGGATAAAGAAAAGCAGAGAAGGCAGACATGGTACCATGAAAGAGCATTGTGGTTCTCTTCCACCTCTAGCCCCAAGAAGAGCAAATCCACAGTCTAAGCATCCATAAGCATTTGTGTACTTACAGGCACATATTCATATACTTACAGGTATAGGTACATATATATATATAATTCAAGTATATAATTAAGTATTCCATCTGGATGAAAAGAACTACAGAATTCCATCTGGAAGAACAAGCATTATAGCTACCTGATGTCCTCCATATCTGTGGGCCAATGGAACAGACCCAAATATCACTTTCCCACCACTGACAAACTGCAGAAAATCAGATGTTCCTTGGACAGATATATGAAGATCCAAAATATTTTCAATAACATCCTGGAGAAAAAGGTAATACATTAATGTTTAGTACTTGAATATGATCAAATTTTCAGTGGCAAAGAATGTGTTTTCTATACAGGTTTTGTTATTAAAAGACATCTGACGGTATGTTCTAAATGTTCTATTGCTTTAAAGTGTATATTAAGTGTATAATGTTTATTGACTTTAACAATAAACAGCTTACGAATATTAAAATACATTTTAGTACATGTGTTAACAATCACTATTAATTGGAGAGGAGCAAAGAAAAAAATAATAGCCAACCTCTGAAACAGCTACAAGAAGAACTTTGGATTTAAAAGGTGTAGGATAGACAACTGAAAAAATGCAGTTTCTCACATTACGGACATAATTTTCCTGGATTGGATCAATTGGAAAAGAGTCTGTAAACAAAAAACACATGAGAAATGTTTAAAAAATAGGAATTAACCATATTATTCTTGATAACTTTCCTCTTAAACCCAATCAAAATACTTCAGAAACAATGCATGAAAAATGAAATGAATGCATGAAATGAAAAATAATTCAGAAACAATGCATGAAAAACCTGCATGAAAATCAAGCCCAAATAGTTTAGTCTTATTCTGTTTGGGAAATTTGAAAAGAACTGAGTCCTGCAGTTAAAGTAACAGGCAGAGCATTCCAGTTTTAAGGTCTAAAATTTATTTTGGAGTAGTTTCAATCAATAGTGATTAGAATAGTCTCAGGGCAGTTTTATAATGCAATTATTTTCAACTCTAAAAGGTATTTTCAGTCAGTAAAGTCCAGCCTAGCTGCTCACACAGCTGAACGAAGCAGCCACTGTGTACCCATAACTGGGTTGTACAGCCCATTTGCAGCAATGAACACCAAGCAAACAGCTTGAAGTCTTCTCTGAGTAACATAAACAGCAAACAAAAGGAGCAGAGGATGCATTTCTTGTTGTAGTAATGTACTTCATCCTTCCCCCAGAGCTACTCTGTGTGATGGTAAAGGAGGACAAACATTGCTTTATACCACAGGACTAATGCTGGGGATTTTAACATCTTTCTGGAATTTTGCTTGCAATATTCACACAGTTCCACATTAACGATAAAATTTCTATGCCTTGCAGACACCAATTTGTAAAAACACTAAGTTATTATCTCTGGACAGTTGCTGTTGGCCATGTTCCTCAGCACCTCTAATGACAAATCCTGTTTTAGACAACTGCCACAAGGTTTATCCCTGGTACTTGTTAGCAATCCTACCACCTGACGAAATCATTTATCTGATAGCAATAGATACAGGCAATTCTGCATGCCTGAGCACTACACAGCCTTGGGCACTTCAAATCAGGTGCCAGTTTATCAATTTTGCATTGACACATAACTGGGACTCGTGCATGATGATAAAATGTCAATTTGGGGGGGGGAGGGAGGGAGAATCAACCAACCTCCGTATGGCCAATCTATTTTTAATACTGAAGGTAGCACTTAACCATCTTTGTCATCACCACAAATCCTTCCAGCTCTTTCGAAACGAGGCCTTAATGACTACTAATGACTTAATGACAAGGCAGGAGGCAGCGTACCTATGAGGCTATCTGAGGAGAGCCCCCAGAGGCTGAGGCCGGCGGCTCCCCACCACGTCTCCCCGCAGCCCTGCCATGGGGGCGATGCGTTCAGGGCGAGGGGCGCCCGGCAAAGCCCCCAGGAGGGGCAGAGCGGGTCCAGGTCCCCACAGCCGACCCCACAAGCCCAGACGAAGCAGGCGACAGCCCAAGGGACGCGGAGCCGCGGCATGTCCCCCAAAAGCCCCCTTCAATAGTGGGGAAAGGGGCATGAGGGGCGCAGCCTCCTAAGATGGCGCCGCTCCCTCGCCCCGCGTAGCGGCGAGACGAGGGGCTAGGGGATGCCCCTCTGTATCTGTCTGTCCGTTTGTCTATGTGTCTGTCGGTCCGTCCTCCGTGCCGCCCTGCCGGAGGGTGGCGGCGGAGTCGAGGTTTCCGCCTCCGGGTCGCGGCTGGGGCCGGGAAGGCGGCGCCGGTGCGGCGGGGCTGGGGGACGCCATGGCCTTGCGCTGGGGGGGGTGGTGGTGGCGGTGGAGGTGCGGAGCCTCCGCCCGCCGGGCGCCGCCACCGCTGCCGCCGCCTCACGGCTCCGTGCCGGGACCCGGCTCCCGGTCCTCGCCGCCGGCCCTCGGGGGGGCGGTGAGTGCCGGGGGGGCGCCTGGAGGTCACCGGCAATGAATGGGGTTGGGGGTGCGGGGAGCAGCGGGGCGGCAGGGCTGAGGTGGGGCTGGGCGGCAGGGGGATGGGGGGAGGCTCGGAGCGGGGTCCCGTGGGGATGGGGGGCTGCGGGTGCAAGGTGAAGTGAGGGATTTGGGGTTGTTGCAGCCGGGGGTGCTGCTGTGGTGAGGGACATCGCGGGTGCTTCTCGAAATGGGAGCCCAGGAGGCGATTTATGTTGATAGGGCTGTAATTAGCGGTGTGGGTTGCGGTCGGGGCCGGCTCCTTCAGTGCCTTGCCCCAAGGCTGCGTTGCACCCAGCCTCATGGCTGGCCAGGCCCTGGCAGCCTGAGGCAGCATGGTAATGGGGAGAGTCCGGCTGTGACCTCTAAAGAGGAAACACTCTGCCGCTTTTTGACAGAAAATGGGAGATATGGGGGAGCAGGCTTGCAGAGGTCTCAGCCATGGGACTGACACACTTCCCTTTTTGGGATACAGGAGTCAGACACCAGTGAATTGCAAGTCCTTGATAAATTAGGGCTCATTGCTTTCCTCCTCATCTGCTTCCTTCCTTCCTGCTCTGCTTGCCTGGCTCTTTTTTTGTCCCATACACTTGAAGGATAGAAAGGTGCCCTGGGGTGTGTGTGGTACATTTGTTGCTCTCCCTGTGCACAAGCAGAGACAGTTCAAGCCATGTAAGAGGAGCTATGGAGGTGTGAGGAGCATGCTGAGGGCACTCTTCACCTCCAGGTCTTTCCACGTGTCTCTAAACAGGCTTTAGGAGAGAGAGGCGGTTCAGTGGATGTGTAGATTGCAATGATTTCAAGGGTGGGTCAGCCTTACTGGGCCCCTGAGTCAGTGTGCACACAAAGCAGCAGGGCTGGGCAAGTCTTGGCAGCGTTGCCGGGAGCACAAAAAGAAGTGTTCCCTTCTCACCTTGTCCCTGTTGCAACCATGTACCTGGGACCAAGCCTTCTGCCAGGGTCCTGGTCTCCATCTCCAGGGAAAGATCTTTGGAGAGATCGTTGGGATTGGAGGTTAAGTTCTTGACATCTAACAGGGAACAAGATAAGCAGGTGTAAATTATAATAAGAAGTGAGCCAAGTTATAATTGCTCCAGGGGAAGAAAAAAAGGATACGTTGTGTTAGTGTAGTAGTTTACAGAAAGCTTTTGCCCTTTGCTCTGTGACTGGTGTTATCTAGATTTATCTGCAAGGCGGGAAACATTGGAAAGCCACCTTTTGTGAGTGCAAAAGCAAGATTTTGTTAGAGCTGTTCCTTGGAAGTGAACTGATACACTTTGCTGAAAGGGGTGAAAGTTCACCGTGCTAGAACAGAAGAGTTGGTGTAAGTCAGAAGTTAACGTGCACATTGGCAGTCACACCTCACGTGATACAGAAGGAGATTATGAGACTGCCTTTGCTGCTGAGTTGTTTAAAGGGAGAAGTGGAGCAATGTCGATGAAGAGTCATACTTTTGTAATCAAGATTTTCATCAGTTTAAAATTCTGTATTTTAAATTAACCCTGTTTTTATTTTGTGCAGATGTGTCACTTTGCACAAAGAAGCTCAGTGTTGTCATTTCCAAAACTATGTAATATATTTTGGCGGTAAGTTGGAGATTCCTGTTGTGCAATGGGTAAAGACACAGTTACTGGGTGAAGTGTGTAGTTACAGATGTGGGCTGTAAGCTTAGACTGAAAATAAGGTTATTTGCTATAGTACGCCATTGGATAATTCATTGTAGACCACTGTTACAGTGTGGAGCTGGAATCTAAGACCTCCATTCTGGAGAGCAGCAGGCAAAACAAGAGTACTCCAGGAGAACCCATAAAGCTCACTTTGAAAAAGGAGATATAATAAGAGGTATAAACTTCAACTCCAGGAAGCATATAAAAGGCCTAAGCCTAATGCACCTTGATTTATACAGGTAGAACTTTGACCTTTTATTGCTGATCATGGAATCGTTATATTTCCTGGAAGTATTGATTTTAATTTATAATGTAGATAGGGCCATCTGATATAGCTGGGTGTGTAAAGGTGAATTTTCAAATCCAAACCAGGAATATTTTTCTAGGAGGGCCCAGAACAAGAAAGAAAGCAAAAAAAAAAAAAAATTGTGTTACTGGAAGATGAAGGCTTCATATAAAAATGTATACTATATTGACAAGGGTATATTCAAAAAGGAATACATTGAGAGCAGCGTAGTTTGTTTCCCAAAAGACTTCTGTAATCAGTCAAGTACAAGAGTGAGCATGGGGTTTGGTTGATACGTTTTCTAAATGCTGTGCTTTGTCAGCTCCTAAAAGTCTATGTTCATCAATATGTAGCTTTGCAGTTCTTGTTCATTAGCTGGCTAAAATCAGTATTTTAATGTCGTGTGTTTATTTTTTTTGGCTAAATTTTGAAAGAGGGGAAAGGAGAAGGATGAAGATGCTCTTTGAAACATTTTTGTCTGGGGAATCGAGGAAAGTTTACTTTTAATGATGTTACTCTTTTGAAAAACACTCACCAGGTTTCATCATACAAGTACATCCCACATGTGCAGCTGCAGTAAGACAGTTAGTGATGAAAAATACCAAGACCCTTTTCAACTTGGTAGAAAAGACTTGAAGAATCTCTATGAAGATATTAAAAAGGTAAGGGATTTTATTGCCTGTCCTGGGATGTTGTAATGATTTTGACTTTAATTGCAACCTTGCTTTGGAGGATGGTTATTGAAGGAATATTCTTCATGCTTATGAATAGCTGTGTGAATCCTAAGTGAAGATAAAAAGAGAATTTCTACACATCTTGTAGAACCGGAACACAATTTTTGTTTTATCCTGATTTACACTGCTGGAATACATCAATCGTGTTTCAGGTTACAATAAAAGTAATTTTGAAAAAAACTTCAGCTTACGTTAGGTGGAATGAATACTGTGCATACTGCTTACACTAACAGATTGGCGTTGTGACTTTTATGCTGATATATTCTTTTCCTTCTTATAGGAATTACTTGTATCTACAGCAGAACTTAGGGAAATGTGTGAATATTACTTTGATGGGAAAGGAAAGGCCTTTCGACCAATGATTGTGGTGCTAATGGCAAGAGCTTGCAACATTCACCATAGTAATTCCAGGTGAGTCTGTTGCTTTTAGGTACATGGACATGTATCATACTAGAAGTTAGTCATTCCTGTGTTCCCCACAAATATATCTAGTAACCTTATGAAAATAAAAAGTTCCTTGGTAAAACACAAATTTAAATGCAGTTTTGAAGCTGCATTTTTGTACTTAGCAGTGTGAAAAGAACTACTGGTTTCACGAGTAGTGTAAAACGTGTAAAATTGTTGGCTATACTGCAGTTGGAACTGGTATATGATGTTGCCAAATTCTGGTATTTGTAAGAGGTTTAGACAACTCTAGCTTCTTACATAAATGCTTTATTAGAACTTGTATTAATCCTGGAAACTCTATAAACTTAACTAAAACTATTTTTCAGTTGTAACCATTCCTGTAACTATTACATTCTTTGAACAGGTAAGAACTATGTTGCAAGAAGAGACTTTCATAACATTTCTGTAATTACACAGAAAAGCCATGAAGCAGGTGGTATAATTATATTCAAAGCTGTGAGACATTCTGAGGTTTCACCCCCCCACCCCAGGAGCAAATTTCTATGCCTTCATGTAAGATTCTAAGCTTAGAGGTGCTGTAGTCCTCACGTTCTTCAAGTTACTTGTCTCTTGAAGGCAGTTTTAATAGAATAGAACATCATATTGCCCCTGTATCTCTATCATCCCTTGCTCTGGCTGATTGCAAATGCTTCTTTCCACATGTTCCTATCAGTTATGTTTGCGTTTTGAAGGAAGATATTGGCTGGAGTGCTTTCCACATTCCGATTATGTTTCCAGTCTTCCCTCATATAGAATTTCAAATATGAAATTTTTGGTCCCTTGCCAGAAGTGTTTCTAGACTTCTTTATTAGTTAATGTATCAGTCTTAAGGGATTTCCCAGCCATAGCATCATTTTTTCCTTAGTGCCTTGCTGAACTTTATTTCTATACCTCAGAGCACAGCGTATATTTTGTGGCTTGATGTGGCACAAAGACCTGTATACCAGCAACATCCTATTTTTTCCCTTTCTATGTGAATATAATTTCTAAGAAGAAAGAAAAACCTAGTTGGCAGTGTCTTGTCCTGTGTGTGCCAGTTCATCTTGTTCTAGGAGAACATTGTCAAGAATTAATGAACTTCACTGCAGCCTAATTCAGTTACCCACACAGTACCACTCTTTGTCATTGTGTTAGAGGTAACCAAAGGAACAGTATTTGTGAAAGTCCTCAGGGATGTCCTTTGTCACAGCACTGATTGGCTTAATATTTTTATGACTGATCTTGGGATGAGTGTGGTGATGGCACTTTGCAGTGACAGAATTATTCTTGATGACTGGACATCTGTGGTGGAATGAAAGGTAGAGCAATAAAACAAAATTTTCTGCTTGAGCTTGGAGGCTCATGAGTGCCCCATTAGGGCATAACCGCAGTGAGATTTGCACCCATCTTCTCTGTGAAAAACCTGAAAGTGATCCTTGCATATATTGTGCATCAATCATAGAATATCTGGTTCAGCTAAGGAAGTACCAATACCATTGTATTGAGCTTTGTGAAATCGTCAGTATCCATGATTTAAGTGCTCAAAAGAAGATAACTGCAGCTAGCTTCAGGAATGGACTGCAAGGTTAATCAGGGAGAATGAAGGGCTTGTGATCCACAAATGTATCAGGAATGGGAGAGCAAGAGATTTAAGACTGCATTGGGTTTATGTGGCAAGGGTTCAGTAGCCGGGGGCTGCAGGGGTGGTCAGCAGCTGCCCACCCCAGAGCCCACCCACGTCAGAGCCAGCTCCAAAAGGGACCCACCGCTGGCCAGAGCCAAGCCAGGGAACAACACCCCCTTTTTCTTTAGGGAGGGGGTCTGAGAGAGTGGTTGTGGTAGAGTTTAGCAGCCCATCAGGGTAAAAGAACCACAAAGATAATGTACAGTGTTGATAAGAGAGTAAATACAAATTCAGGGTAGAAATTTAGGAGACTTTTAGCAACGGAACAGTGAGGTTTTAGAAGATCCTCCTAGTCAGAATAATGAAAAATACAGTTTTATCTCATTCTAATGTGCAGCATGAGATGCTTATGAACAAAATTAACGTAAGTGCACATGCAATACCAAGAAGCCCAGAATTGATGTAAGGAATCATACAACATCACATGTGAGCAGTGAATCAAAGGGAAGAAGTAGCCATAGAAAGAACTGAATTTGCCTTTATTTTCTCAGAGCGTATTTGCTGCCTTTTGACATGCAGATGCTCATGGAGGTATTACTGTCCATGCATTATGCTGAACTGAAAGAGTTGGGACCAGTTTTGAGACCCAACCCATGCTGGTGAGGAAGTGTGATCTCAGAGTTTGAGTGTTGCATAAAACTAAGGCAAATAGCCAACCCTCAGCACGAACACTCCGATTTACGGATACCCATGTCATATGACAGCTTTTGTACATCTGTTGCAGTTTTTGTCAGCACCTCCAAACTATGCTTGGTGTTTGAAAGTCTCCTCATTAATTTGAGTGTTCCTTGTACAAGGACAGACTGAGTCATCATCTGTCACGGTTTTTTTTTTTAGAATGAAATTCTGAGGGGGGAGAACAGAGATGTTTTAACAAAAGAAGATAATGAAATCCCAGGGTATTTACCTTCCTTTTTGCTTCGTGACACTTTTCTCAAAGTCTGTAATGGCAATTGAAATTCACGTATGTTTATGCAAGTCTTCAATATTCTGCTTTGGGTTCATGCATGATGACCAGTGCCTTTTTAGGATTGGGTAGGCCACGCCAAAGAATATACTGTCTTATTTTGCATACCTGGTTACTGAGGATTGATGAAATTCCATATGTATTTTTTTTCTTTGCTTTCAAGTTTCTTGAAGCAGGCTGTGTGTTAACGCCTGATTTATATAAATGTATACCTCCAGTTCACACTGATTGTAGTCTCATTATTGTTGCTTCTTAGAGGATTGTGGTTTCCAGGTGACAAATTGTTCTTCCAACTTTTTACTGTTCGTGAGGGAAAATGTACATGTAGAGAAGAAAACACTGTGTATTTGTCACTCTGCTACTCTGCTGTAGACCTAAGGGGGGAAGAAAACAACCCTTCCTTCCCATTCTGCCTCTCCCGATGGTTTTTATTATTATTGTGGGCTTTCTTTTTTTGAGATGTTTCCCCTCTTTGAACTTGTTGCTTCCCTTAAAGCATTTTATCATTCTTTTGCTCAGTTTATATTGATTCTCTTCTCAGTCTTGTTTCACTTCGGTTCCCACACATGTACTCAAATACACTGGCCAGAACATCTGTAGACTTGTGGGGTGAGCAATTTCCTGTGCTGTTCATCCCTAGCATTTTTATTATTTTTTTTTTAATTCTGCCTCTAGGGTTTGTGTTACTGCTGTTGAATTTCTGCCTCATCGTACTGCCCTTCTCAACTGTCACAGAATTTGCTGGGTCCAGCATGCTTTTGCATGTTTTTTTGTCTGGTTTTGTGTGTGTTTTGGTTTGTTTCATTTTGTTTATTTTTGTTTTGTTTTCCTTTGTGTGCAATACTAGCAGAAAAGGTAATACTCTTCCTTGTTTGGTTGTTAAAATAACAGGGCATAACTTTGTAAGGGTGTAGATCCCGATCTTTTGAGGCAGTCTGCAGACTTTTCCCAGAGCCCCTTGGAATGTAAGAATAGCTGAGACGTCTTAAGAGTCTCAGGATAGGAGGGGGATACCCAGGTAGCACTGCTTCCAGATTGGGTGGCTCAATCTCTTGTGTTTAGATTTGATGAAGGCAGCTATTTAGAATAGCTGTCTTTGTAGAGTAAGGTCACTTAGTTGTATTCATTATAAGGAAAATGACAGTTGCATAAGGACATAAAGAATCCGAAATATTATCAAAAATTGTCCAAAGCATTCAAATTGTTCGGTGCTGGTATGACTTTTTTTCCTCTTGAAGATCCAAGTGCCAAAAGTCCATCCCTGCCTGAGTCCTTATGCCCCTTGTGCAATGTGTTTTGTTTAACAACTTAACAATTTATCTTTGTGTGAGAGTGAGAATTGTTGTAAAGAGATCATGCAAGCCCTCAATTTCACACATCCTCTGTCATTTCTTCACTCAACGCCTGTGTGCAGAATTTCACAGAATTAGCCTGACTGGGTCTCTATTTCTGTTTCGGGTATATTCTCCAGAGGTGTTTGTAAATGGGAGTTTTTATGTCTATTTCCACAACCAAAATGAGAGAGACAAACAAAGAGAAGGTCAAAGAAGTACAAAGACATCTCAGTAGAGAAAATAGTGAGCACAAAAGATTTAGGGAGGGAAATAAGGGAAATAAATCATCAGAATGGTGAGATAAATACTTAAATATAATGACCTAGCTAAACTACAGAGTATTTCCTAATCCATGACGACCTGCCAGCAACCTTAGCCCTTTTTTATGTCCCTCCTCCAAACCACAGTTGTCAGATGCCTGTACTGTACATTGTATTTCAGCTGTTCTATAATTTGCTCCTGGTTAATACATCACTTTTCTACGCTTCCCTTAGTTTGCAGTGCCCTTCTGTGTCTCAGACCATGTTTCTGAACTGTTCATTCCTTTCAGCCGCATGGACTTAACACCAAGAATGCACTCTGAGGAGTGTGGTCATACCACAAATTTTGCAAGCTGTTTTGCAGGTTTCCTGTCTTTTAACTGGCAATGTTTGCTTACTGACAAGCTCATTGCAAAGCTCTTGGTTGTGTCTGTAAATATTGTTTTGTGTTCTTTTGGAGGAAAAAGGTTGGGTTGGTTGGTTGGTTCTCCTGTAAGATCAGCCTTGGTCTTGTTCAGTGCATTTGAAACAAGTTTTGTTACAGCAAAGACCCTGGGATATGCTGTGTCTATAAAAGCTTATAAAATCAAGCAGGGGGTCCTCGTGAAAAATCAAACATTGTCAAGGACTTAAACATGCAGTATACTCTTTTTTAAAAAGACAAGGTGACAGTTACATAGAATATTTTTGTAAATATATATCATCTTGGGGTGTCTGAGAATGACCTAAAAATGGCATAATTTCCCTAAATGAACTTGTGGTGATCCAGTTATCTATTGACTTGAGTTACTGCTGCTACTTTTTGCTCTTGTTTTTCAGGCGAAGCAGAATGAAAAGTGGCAGGGAATGAAAAGGATCCTGTTTCTTGTGTTTTTTCCCTAAAATAGGCATGCTTCGATTCAGAATTTTTCTCACAAGATGTTTGTAGAGAACTCCTTGCAAACTTTCTTGCCAGAGATGGGAAGAACGTTGCTGGAGACTTTCCAGGAAGAGTAACATTAAAAAAAAAATGTTCAGGTTAAATTACCCCATTTGATATAACATCCCAGCAGCCAGACACATGAACTGTGAGCTCTCCTATGCCATTTTTGGTCATTGTCACAGATGAACTGCACTGTGAAACAGAACTTCTCAAAACCTGCTTTTGAGAAGTCTGTCCTTGTGCTGCCTTCATACTACTGAAAGATTTTGGTGTGTCTGTGAGTGTTGCCATTTACTGCTACTTCCCAGCAGGAAGTCCAGTCTGCTGACATAATTAATGAAAAAGGGAGTCCCCAAAAGGAGACCAGTGCATGAAAGAGGCTGGAGACCTTTACAGTTGTTTGAAGGTAAGTTCTCCTACTTAGTAACAATAGGTTGTTTTATGAAAACTACTTACACTGAACTAGCATTTGACTAAATTACTAGTCCACAGTAAAACTTACCTTCAAACAGCCAGGAAGGTTTCCAGCTCTTATTCTTGTGTTTTTCAAAAGCCACATTTTCACAGCCTGTGAGCCACACATCCTGCTATTGTTCAGGATGTAGAACTCCCACTGACAGCAATGCATACTTCTGCATAGAGGTAGGTGTCAGAACACTGTGTTATGTCAGCAGACTGCAAGATGTTCTTTCATTTTGTGATTAATCACTAGATTTTAATAGACCAGGCAATGCAAGATTTTAAATTTCATTCAGCTGAGCTGAAATAATTATCTTCTGCTTTCTCTGAGTTCTTTTTCTCAGTTCTTTTTCCGCTCTGATGGAAAATAGTATGATTTGCTGTGTTACCTGTACACCAGAAGTAAGGTATCTATATGTCAAAAGTAATCTTATTTTATTTTTATTTTATTTTTTTCCCTCATTCATGTGGGTTGGTTACAGCTATAAGGCAGGGCTGACTGGGATAGACATTTCTGGGATCCTGCATGCAACTCTTGATGAAAACAGGTAGAAAAAGATAAATACTAGAATGAGGCAGTTGCAATAGGGTACTAGGGTAGATGGTCTTTTTTTCTGAGCTAGGATGGCTTTTTTTTTTATTATTCATTTTGCCAGCCTGGATCCCTAGATAATTGGTTTTATGTTCTTCCCTTACCTTTTTTTGGTCTAGTTTAAAAAAATAATGTAGGTGTGAACTAGTGAGGGTTGAATCATCAGTGTTAGATCTTCCCAAAGGCTGAATTTCATTAAGTGTTAGGTAGTTAGTGTTTACAGCCCTAAAGTGATTGCAGTATAATTCCAGTTAATTCCTTGGGCTTTTGAGGAACCTCTGAAGTCTTAAGATAATCAGATAAGGTAAAGGATAAGATCCACGAGTTATGTTTTCAAATGTTGAATACAGGTTTTCTTTGTCTGCTGACTTCTCCAGCTTGCTGGTTAGTAGAGTTAGCAAGGTCTGGGGAGTTTGTGACGCTGCATCTTACAGGTAGAGCAGCACAGAGGTAAGGAAAACTTCAAACTCCTCTACAAAACTACTTTTCTGTGCCCTTTTCCAGATTTCTCTCTGCTTGGAATGAAGCATCCTTAATGCTGTGCTATTTATTGCAGTCTGGATTTAGAGGGATTAGAGTTAGTAACTCAGGAGTTTCACAGTACTAATAACGCAGCAAGGCAGAAATAGGCCTAATAAGGATGGAAATATCCCACGGTGCTCACTGTACTAACATGATCTTACTTCTCTCTCGTCTTGCTAATTTCAGGTTTGAAAGATGGGGTTCAGACCATGGAAAAGCTGCAAGAGCTGTTTTCAGTGAAATACTGTTTGGTTTTCACAGAGATTTCTGCTGGTGTACCGCAACACAAAATGTATTTAATTAAATAACAGTTCTTGTTTTTTTATTTTAGGGAGGTGCAAGCAAGCCAACGCTCTGTAGCCATAATTGCAGAGATGATCCACACAGCTAGCCTAGTACATGATGATGTTATCGATGATGCAAATTCTCGTCGAGGCAAAATGACAGTCAACCAAATCTGGGGAGAGAGGAAGGTGAGTTTTTCGTCATGTGCAAGGCTTGCCATTGAGTTCTGGAAAAGCAGAAATACCTAGGGAGGGTTTGTCATGTTACTCTGCTGGGGCACAGTTTTACTATGCTTAGGCATAGTCTCGGGATATTCCAGAAGTTTGAAGCAGTGCTTGTGGACTGTAGGTAAAACAAATGGATGTCTTCTTACTGAACTTTGGAAGCATTCAAGAAGGTATAATTGCAGTGTGATTCTTAATGCTCTCAGCTTCCCCATGTGGTGCTGCTGGAATGCTTTGTTCTTGTACCTCATCCAGAACGCAGTAGGTTAGCCTGTTTCAGTAATAAATGCAAAAAGGTTTTAATTCAGCATGAGGATTTTTTGAGAGAGGCATTTCTTTGCAGAGAGTCTTAATGAGCAAATGCAAGGAAACAAGTAAATTGCTGGTACGTCAGAACTTACCGAGGCAATTTAGAGGTGATGTGACAGAACAATCAAATGGAGAGGCAGTGTTTTAAAGTTCACAGGCAAACAGATTCCAATATTGCATAGAGGGAGGATGCTGCTCATATGGAAAAGTCTAAACAGCACTATAAGATAGGGATTCAGAAATGGTGCCTATTTTAATATTCAACCATCTTCTGTTTTCTCTCCATTACAGTGAGGAATTTATACTTTATATAGGAAAATGATGTGATGTGAGTAGACCTGCCAAATAAAGGAAATGGTATTGTCTTTACTAACACTTACAGGAAAAGACTTAAAAGGTATATTTTTCTGCTTTGTTCGTAGGCTGTTCTAGCTGGTGATTTCATCCTGTCAGCTGCTTCCCTAGCTTTAGCACGAATTGGAAACACTACTATCATCTCTGTTCTAACTCAGGTGATTGAAGATCTGGTGCGTGGTAAGGTCTTTTTCTATTTTTATCCTAAGACTTGTTTGCCGAAGCAGTAAACCCACAAATAAAAACCCCTATCTGTGCACATTTTTAGGTGAATTCCTCCAGCTGGGTTCCAAGGAAAATGAGAACGAGAGATTTGCTCACTACCTCGAGAAGACTTTTAAGAAGACTGCGAGTCTTATAGCAAACAGTTGTAAAGCAGTATGTACGTCTGTCTCTTCTAACGTTAACATACCATACTGTAAGCTTCACAGCTAAACTCCTAATTATTTCTGCTTCCTCTGGAGGCCCTCCAAAGTAAACCCTTTAATTGGTGTTCTGCCAGAATGGGTTTGAGATTGTGAATTTTATCTCAATTCAGCTGTGTAGCCTCCAATATTGGTTTTCATTTTTTCCTGTTTTATATTTATAAAGAGATTTATTGTTCTCCTCACTTGCATCAGAACAAGGTTCACAACAGTAACCTCAAATGTATGAAATTCTGCAAGTTTGAGACAGTGTTTTTTAATGTCAGTTGAGAATTCTCAAGCCTGTAATTTGATTTTAAGACATCTTTGACGTCTGGTCCCACTCACTGGTGTAGAATGAGACCTTAAATGATAACAGTAGGAGGAAACAACTGCTTGCATATACTCTGCTTTACATTCTCAAACAACAGAAGTATGTGCTTCTTGGTTTGTCTGATGTTATTTTTTTTGTTGTTTATTTTTTTTTTAAGATCTTGCTATATCAAACCCTACCTGTCATTAAGTTCTGTTAATTCCTTACAGAAAGATCTCATTCTAGACAATGTCTTTATTAAAAAAAACTTCAGTCAGTGCAGAAAATAGAGAAGGTAGACAACAGGCTTATCCAAAAAATTGTAACATTTACTTTTTCTTTTCCTTTTCCTGAAGGAGGTACAGATGGTGTATGCCATAGCAAGAGGGATTTCTAAGGGAATTAGATTAAAAACATATGCTAGTGCTCATCTTCATCCTTTGTTCTCAGAAAACTGGTAGTTTTATACAATAAACAGCAAGTGTGCATTGCTTTTATTAAGAGGACTCATGCAGAGTGAAAGACAAACTGTTGGGATGCTATCTTATGTATAAAGATGTCTTTATATATCTTTCATTATATAAATTCTTCCAGCTGGAGGAGAGAGCTTAAATATTCTGTATTGCACATATTAATGGCAGTATGGCCCAGGCAAGAATTTCCCTTTGCAATTCTTCTTTTATATTAGTGGGTAGTTGGAGAAGTAAGGAGTAGTAAGTGATTTTTGTTTCTTTTTCATAACTCACAGAAGAGTTAAGGACTTAAGCAGTTACCTCCACATCGTAGCTGTGATGCTTATGAATAGGAAGGATGTGTGTTTGGCTGCTGTTCTTCAAGTAGTTGTTCTGAGTTGTTCCAGTGCTGAATTTCTGGAATTTCATATGCAGTAGAATTTGTGTTAGAAATTAAAGCAAGGGAGAGGCCTGTCCTTAAAGCAAAACCAAGCTCACTGCCCATAGTATCAACGATGTGTCTCCTCATGTATCAACGTATCTCCTTCAGTTTAATGGATCGGGGAACTCTACTGATACTTTTATCAGTGAAAAGTTTGTTTTTGTGGTTTGGATTTTTTGTTTGTTTTCCTTTTTCCCTCACTTCGATATTCGTGACTATTTGAGGAGAAGGATGAAATCAGAAGGGAATTCTGTTCTCAGTAGTGAAGATGATCGGTAGGATCATCAGCTCTTGGTTGAAAGGAAAATCAGCTGGAGAATAAAGAGTATTCACATCTGATTCTCAGGTACAAAGCTAAGGGGAGAGATCACTGGTTTTCAGAACATCAGTTGTTACCAGGCCGGTGTGCCATTAGGTGCAGTTCAGTTCCTGTTAATGACTGGAGAAGACGTTCTTTTCAGTGCTTAAATGAGATACAAGTATTCAGTAAAATAAAAATGTGAAAGTAGATCAGGAGGCATCTTAGAACTCTACGCTGAGAAGGGGGAGTAGAGTATTCCTCATAAAATGTCTGAACAAGGCAATAGCTTGTCTATCAACACTAGTAGGTATGTTCACTGCATTCGATGTTTTCTGTATCTCCAAAGCATGACTGCATTTGAATCAAAAGTCCCTTAAGATAGTAATTATTTTTGTTTAATGGACAGAACAGTCGCTTGAAGATATTAGTCATCCCAGACCACAGTTTATTTCTAGAATAGTTTTAAATTGGAGAACGTCACCAAAGTTGCAGTGAAAGTAATACAGTGCAAAAGTAGATGGTGGCAGATGGCCCAGAGGGTCACTGAAGCCTTAGTTACTTATTTATGAAAGGCCTTATTTCAGAGAACCATTGCAGGTGACGTTGGTTCAAGACTTAAGAAACAATAAAGCTGAAGTGGAATTTCCGTCTGTCATCAGTCAAGCTGGAGATAGCAAAATAAGCTTAGCAGGTTCTCTTTCTGTCTTTTTTTAATCTTACTGTAATGTGAATTCCTAACCCCGGGAAAGCTATTTAGAATTTGCATAACATACTCTCAGAAGAGGGATTAATCATGCTTGTTTTGAGATCTGTGTAAAGTTGCATTCGAGATTCTTGATTTCCCTGATAGGGAGAGAGCACGCAGCCTCTGTGAGCAAGACGAGGCTGGAGATGGAAGGTCTGCCTTAGGGACTGAAGAAAAAGAATAGCCTGCAGCTCTGGATCTGCCTGTGAGCTTAACAAGTTCATGGTTTCACATGTGCACAGAGCTCCACCTGAGAAAAACATAGCAGGGTATGGAACTGCTGTGATTTCTGAAATATTAGAAGCTGGAACAGCACCACCAAAATTGATCTGTGCCCCACCCTCAAAGTAGGCATGCAGACTACAATGAAGGCCGATGACAGATGTAGGCTAGCAGTATCAGTGGCATCAGAGGGTCAGGCAATAGCTTTCCTTGCTTCTTACATAATACAGTAGTTCCTCTGGCGCTGTTTCTTCTTCATAAACTGCTTACTGTAGAAAAGATTCCCACAAAAGGATTACAGATATTCAGGCAGGTAACCTTCACTTCTGTGAAAGTTCAATTCTTCATGAAGTACCTGGCTAACACGTTATGACAATACATGAGTTAAATAAAATAGGAATTACTTGAACAGGTAAAATGTATGAAAATGCAAACTCTGCAAGAGAGTCGTCTGCTGTGTGGGCAGGCTGCTGCTGGGTAGATATCTTCCTCTCTCAGGGAGGCCTTCATAACCCCCCTCCCAAGAGTAGCTACAAAAAAGGGTTTGAGGAGGCTGGAGGATAAGGTAGCAGCGAGGGCTAAGCACATACGGGGCGGCATCACTAGCAGCACAGCTCGTGTGGCTGTGGGTTTTCCTCTATCCAGCTTGTGATACCTCACTGGCAGTGGTGTGCCCAAGGCTGGTTCCCTCATACAAGGCAAACATTTGTTTTGTTGAGTGAGTTCAGCGAAGGGCCAACCATGATGGTAGGTGGCTGGAGCACACAACGGTCCAAGAGCTGGCTCTAGTCTGGAGTAGAGAAAGCTAAGGGGAAATCCTCCTGCTGCCTCCAGCTGTGTAATGAGAAGGTGTAGGAGAAGATGGAGGTGCACAGTGAAAGGAGTAGTTACGTGAAAGAATTAAATTTACTGTTAAGAAAAACTTCTCCGTGAGGTTGGTCATACACTGAACCATGTTGCCCATACAGGGTGTGGGGTCTCCATTCTTGGAGGTGTTCAGAACTCAACTGGACGCAGCCCTGAGCAGCCTGTTCTGACTGTGCAGTAAGCTTTGAGCAGATGACTTGACCAAATAACCTTCAGAGGCCCCTTTCAACCCAAACTATCCTGTGATCCCACTGGATAGAAGACAGTGCCATCTGGAACCAGTGCTGGATGAGCCACAACTGAGACAGCAGCATCCTGACTGCTTCTGACTGCTTCTGGAGAAGGGGCATGGAAGAGAGGCTGGAGAGTAGGCAGAGGGGAAGATTTCAGAGCCTCTTCCTTTCCAAGGCCAGCAGCCTTGGAGAGGGAGTTTGAGGGCAAACATCTCTTGTACTATTTATACAAGCATATTTCTGCCCCACAGTGGGTTTTTCTATTGGGCCTACAAGTCACTGGTGTGCAAATGCTTTAAACACCAGCTGCTGTATTCTCCCATGATAAGAGAGCAGGATGTATCCAGAGCTGATGGAGGATATTTTATGGATGTGAAAAATCAGTAGAGAGGCATGATTAGTTTATAGGCTCCCATGTAACATAAAAGATCAGAAACAATTATTATTTTATTTATTTTTTTAGTTTTAAAAAGCGTGTTTGAAATAATACTAAGCAGATTGGCTTGCTTTCCTGAATTTAAAGAACCTTTCTAAAGAATTCGTTCCACTTAGTATTAGGGTTTTCTCATCAGGATTTACTAGAGACATAGCTGGATTCTGGCAAGATTAAATTTGTAATCAACCAGTCATACCTTGGGAACTATAGGATACTCTCAGAGGGTGAGCTTTATCATTTAAGCACATACAATTTATTTATATTGTTACACTGTTCTTTATGTGTAAATGCATGCTATTATCCCAGCATGGCTTCAGTTTCCATTCCGTCGCTGCAGAGAGGCAGGCTGACTGGGACGAGCCTGCCTGCATCCCAGTGAGTGGCCATGTGGGGGCAATAATCCACAAGAGCAATTTCAGAAATTGGTTCCTGAAGGATCTCCTTGGTAGACGAGCCCCAGTCATGTTGCAGGTTTATGATGTGGTCGTGGTAAGAGAGTAGCTCACCTGAGGAACAATAGGTGTATAAATCTGCTGGATTTCTTTGATTTTGTTGGTTCTCAGAAATGTTTATAACTTGAAAAGGAGTTACGATGCTCTTCTCTTGCAAAGATGCAAGAATTCATTTTAACATTGATTAATTTTGCTCGTGTAAAGACGTTCTATAATCCATGTTTGTACTTTTTAAATGTACGCATACTGTAATTATATAGGTAATGACACTGTCCCCAGAAAGCTGTCTCCCTGCAGGGGTAGCTCTGCTCTGACCTTTCAGGTTAAATGAGAAAGCTCTGCTCTGTACGTGGCATTTCCCCTCTCCATCTACCAAGTTGTCCTCGCTCTGACCTTTTGCCATCAACCACGATCTTGTCATTTAGAAACTGTCCTACTGAATTCCGTGTTTTAATTCTTCCCATTAAATGCAGCGATAGGTAAAGGTTTCATTGGAACAGGGTAGGTGCACTCACCCTGCCTTGCTGATCTTTACTGGTATTACAGAAGCAACCAGAAGTGTGCTGGGCGTTGTGCAGCAGCAGATGCTGTTAGCTCTTTGGGGCAAATACTGCTATTTAAGAGACAAGCATCAAAAGGAGGATAGAAGGGCAGGATATTCTATTTGGATAGTCCTTAGTAACTTGTATTTAAACACCTTATATTTGAAGTTCATTGTTATAATGGCCTTCGGGATTTCATATGAACAGACACACCTAGCATCGTTTCCCTGTCATGCTGCCCTCCTAAAATTGGGAAACACAAGATGTTAATGACTAAGGGATCCAGACCCCTGGGTTTTAACTGTTACCTATTCAAAAAGGTTATGATAGGAAGTTATGATAGGTGCTTAGTTACAAAATGCACTGATGCCTGAAGTAATCTCTAATTTTAACACAGATTGCATCATATTAGGGTATATCCTTCAGAATCTAACACTGTTTGTATTTACATCTTTGTATTCACCTTCAAAGCTACTCTTGGGCTTGCTTTTAGGTTGTTTGCTTTTTTTGCTTTTTGTATTTTTAGTGATCCTACCTTACATACTCTTTTTAAAGATGATTTTTTATGTACTTATTTTTATGTTGCATGGCTCTCCTAGCATGTATTTTTAGTCTGACATTAAATAAAATGTACCCTCGCTCCTTCCGCTAGTCACAGTAGACTTGGATGGATTTCTGTCCCCTATTCCTGATTGCTTTATTGAAGGCTGAAATAAAACTGAGTCTTTAAATGTAACCAACCTCCTTTTGCAAAGTGTATAATCAATATGTAAGTGCAAAAGTGTAAGTGCCCTTACTTTAGGGCAAGATATTAATTCTCTGATCTTACTCAGCATCCTTTATTTTAGCTTTATGGAGTTTATTCAGCAAAATCTTGTCTCTCAAGTAGTCAATTCCTGTATCTGTACTCAAAATGTTTAGTTTAGTGATACTTTTGTCTAGCTTGGTGTGCTTTTTTCATTCACTATCTCTTTTTCTTTGCCACTAATTATCCCTTGATACTTCTGTCTGAAAACTTATCAGTTGTCTTCCCGAGCAATTCAGCTTTAGACAGTTAACATCACCTTAAACATAATTTTCCTTATCTCAATTCCCTTCTGTATTGGGTGCATCACTTCCAATTTTGTGGATCTTCTATGAGGCATGTAATGTCCATTTATCTCTTATCTGACCTCTAATTATCCCCTAGCTGATTTAGGTACATAATAAATTTAATTTCTCTTGTCTCCGGACTGTATATGACTACTAGCCTGCACATGCAGTGCATTTGTATTCCTTCCCTCCATCCTTGCATTATAATTTCCAGCTGATTAATATTTAATAACGCTAATATCTTTCCAGAGGTGCATATATTTCTCATACTGCGCTGCTGTTCAGCCTTGTTTTCCAATGAGCCTGGCTATTTGTTGTGTATCCAAGAGATAAGCAAGAATGTGTGCCTGACTCAGCTTTTAATCCTTTCCCAGATTCCTGCTGCCTGTGCTTGCAGCATTGCACCTCTGGTCAGAGACTAGAAGGGGATGCTAACTAAAGCTCTCTATTAATTCGTTTTGTTTTTCTTTCCAGGTTTCAATTCTAGGCTGCCCTGATCCCAAAGTTCATGAGATTGCATACCAGTACGGAAAAAATGTTGGCATAGCTTTTCAGGTAGTGCTTTTATTCAACTAAAAGGAATCTAAACTCTTCCCCAGCTGCCTTAGAAATCAAAGTGGGTTGTCTTCATTCTTTCTATAAATTTTAACAAGGATTATTCTGTATCTAGTTTTAAGAAACCAAAAAGAACCCTGCCTTAAGTTAACCTGTATGTTTATCTTCTTCCAGCTAATAGACGACGTGCTGGATTTTACATCATGTGCTGACCGTCTAGGCAAACCAGCGGCAGCGGATCTCAAGCTTGGATTAGCCACAGGCCCTGTCTTGTTTGCTTGTCGGCAGGTAGGTCAAAAGGGACACGTCTCTCCCAAACCAAAAGCCACATGCTGCTCCTGACAGCCACACAGAAGTCTAGCTTGAACACATCAAGCCTGCAGCTGGGGCACGTGTGAAAAATCAGTGCGTTCAGGATCAGCTGGATGTAGAGTGCACACACGTTTTTTCAGATTGACAAGCGCCTTCCTCCACAACCCCTTTTACCATTAGGCCCTTTTATCAAGAGAAGCATTAATCTTTTGCTGCCCCAAATGCCAGCCTTTGCAAAAATTCAGAAATTCTACGTGCTTTCTGCAGGTTATTCCTAATTGGCTGCTTTCTCATGTTCTTTCTGGAGACATGTTCTCCCTAGGCTCTCACTATGTACCCCTTTTGCCAAGGTCTAGGCTTTGTATCCATTTTGGGTCCAAGCCTTAACCAGTTAAAAATATGGAAAGCTTTCCCTTCTTTACAGTTGTGCTACCAGAGGTAAATATAACAGTAGTTTGGATAAGAGAAAGGAGTATCATAAATAAGCTTAAAAGATGGTCATGATTTTTAGTGGCTTGAGAATGATTTGGAGTAGTGCAAAGTAAACAGAAGTGCTAGCAGCACCAACAGAAGCATTCAAGCTTCTACTAATCCTTAAAATGGAAAGTTTAATGCACCTTGCTCAAGCCTCCGGTTCACCTGAGGAAAGATTTGGGACTTGCAAAGCCATCCTTCTGACTAAACTTCATGATATGAAAACTGGCACAGCTAGTTCAAGTGAGGGCTCTAGTCTGTTCTCTCATTGGAATTGCTCAGTGATTGAGATGGGAAAAGTTCAAAATAATTAAAAACAACATCAAAAATTTTATAACAGTTACATCTCTTTCTTAACAGAAAGAGCCCAGGGGGAGGCTGGAATATATGCATGTTTGTTTCCTCTTCCTTTGGGCACTTACAGGGACATGCATCTCACAAAAGACAAGAAAGTGAAGATTATCAGCCACTTAAGCATGCAGACTGATGCATGCTGAGAACAGCCTCCTCCAAGTTCTGAGTTCCTCCCCACAGGCTAGTCTGGGGGGGGTTGTGAACTTGTTCTTGAATCATTATTTCAGAATTTGTTGATGCACAGCAGGACGTTGTTAGTCATCAACAACTGGAGTTGTCTAAAGGAACAATGAGAGCCAGGTACTGAAAGAGGATGCATTTTAAGATACCTGAAGGGAGATAGGAGGACATAGCACAAAGACTGAACAGGGTTTGGCAGAGAAAAGGTGACACTAACTGACTTGTGAATGTTGAATATTCCATTTTTTTATAATTAGAACTATTATTTTATTCATGTATTTGGGTTGGTTGTTTGTCTCTGACTTGGAACAACCCCCTATTCGTTTAGTTAGTTTGATAAGATAAATAATAATATGGAAATGCAACAAAACAAAAACATCAATTTTATTTTAAAAATCTTACTTGAACTTCATAAGTCACTTTTAAATACTTTTAGTCATTTGTATTTGATAGATAAGAAGTGGAAGCTTCCCATTCAATCTTTCATTGAAAGGTAACCTGATCATCTTGCATTAAATGTAAGACTTCTTAGCTGAACATTTCCTGCCATTTTCAAGGAACTGGAAGAACAGCACTACAGACTTAAATGATATATAAACAAAGTAGAAGTGCTAAAAAAAAATCTGGAGCTTCAACAAATGCTTATCTGTGTTGCTACTAAAAGATGTTTCATCTATTTTTATCTGAGAATAAAAGGTCCTGAGCCAAGGACTTGAAGATAGTCCAAAATGTAATTGTTAGTTATAGTCTGTCTTATGTCTCAGAATTAATATTACTGCTATCCTACATACCCTTTAACTTATCTGGTAATCCCCATATTTTCTTCCTGACAACCATACTTCAGTTTTTAATGTTGTCTGGATCTTAAGTGATAGCCTTTTCTTCTTGTCCTCTACCCTTCCTCTAAAAGACATCTTTTTTTGCATTGAAATATTGAGTGGCCTTTAACCAAAATTGTTTAGCTTGACGTAAGGCCTCTTTGCTTTGTATTTTAAGCTCATTCACATTATAAAAAAAATCCTGATTGTTTTTTAAGAATTATACTACTGCATGCTAATTCTAAAGTTACTCTTTAACTAGTACAGCTGAAGAATGAGGGTTTATGTTTATTATTAGCATTGCTATCAAATGCTTACATACTACCCTTTAAATCTGTACAACTGTTAAAAATAGCTTTTCATTACAGGTTTGGGTATTTTTATATTCTTTGGAGCTTAAATGTAAAACATGAAAGCATGTACCTCGTGTATCATTGTAAATATGAATAATATGAGCATCGCAATTAACTTGTCATTACACGGGAAGAAAGCTAGAATCTAAAGAAAGCCAGGTATGAGTCACCAGTAAACTTTTAAACCTATCTGCTAAGATGACTACCTCTGACTAATAGAGAAATGTCACAACAAAGAGGAATGTTGCATGTTTGTTCGCCAACAAGAAGTTTGTAGATCTGTGGTTTCAGGCCCAAAGGTGTGTGTGCAGGGAAAGCAGATCATTGTTTATGAGCGTACTGCAGTGTAACTGTGTTTACTGGTATCTGTAGTAACAACAACGGCAGGGAAAGGAGGCTCTACCTCAGTTTCTTTTTCACCTCAGCATAGCCAACAGCTACATGGAGAACAACTCATAAGCAGTACAAAAAAACACTTCTCACTTTGTGCTTAGTTTCCAGAAATGAATGCAATGATAATGAGACGATTCAGTAAACCAGGAGATGTTGAACGTGCTCGGAAATACGTGTTGCAGGTAGGACTGGTACCAACTACTTCATTCCCAAAGTGCTGTTCCCACTGAAGTCGGTATGAAATTCATTGCCTCTGAAGTAAAACGGCAGGGTTGCATTTTTCAAATATACATTAAGTAACAAGCTGTGTGCAATACCAAGTTAGTACTCTACAATTGCCTTACTGGCACTGTTTTAAAAGTTTCTGGTTACTGGATTTAATAGCTTTTTCCCCTTCAAATAGCATAAAATCTCCATAATAAAAACAAAAAGCTTATGCATAAACTCAGTTCCTTCAGTTGAAGAGTTCGTGCGTCCAACAACTGATGAAAGCAGCAACTAATTCTCGCAACTGAAGCACGCACTCCAGTTTTAATTGACTCTGATGTGAAAAGAGTGAATAATTGTCTGTGCAGAATTAGTACATATTTAGTCAGCATAGCATGTTTGTGAATTTTTGTTGCATGCCTTTATTTTGGGTAGAATGGGGAGGGGTTGATCAATTAGTTTCTAGTCCTACTGAATCATATCTTAGTAATAGCAGTGTTGTTTTATAAATATAATTAAGTTTAGCATGGATGAGTTTTAGTATTTCAGAGCTTTGGGGAAGAGATGTAGGATTCAGCGGGTATAAAATGAATCCTTTTCCCCTTCAGCGTATAGGTAGGTGTTCAGGGTACTTACTGACTTTAAAACTGCCCACTGTATCTGCCAAGAGGCAAAAGGGGGCTGATCAGTTACCCGTTCTGTTGTACTGTCTTCCAACATAAGAGTGATGGTGTGCAGCAAACGACCTACCTCGCCCAGCGCTACTGCCATGAAGCTACAAGAGAGATCAGCAAGCTGCGACCATCCCCTGAAAGAGAAGCCCTCATCCAACTGACAGAAATGGTACTCATGCGAGACAAGTGAGAGAACTCCTTCCACTCGTTCTGGCAGCTACTTACCAGACTGTGCCTAAATTTACTTCAAAAGTTACCTGCTTCCAACACAGGCTACCAAAAATTATTTTTTTAAGAAGCTTTTTTTTTGGGGGGGAAGTTCTACTTTTTTTTCTAAAAATATAAAATTAAAGTGTTTTATTGTAGGAAACCATACAGATTGTGCTGTACAAGTTTTAGTGGGGGGCTATTAATTGTGGGGTTGGGAAAGATGTTTACATGTTGATGCACGGAGGCCACAAATGAGAATAAAAACAAATCAGTGTATGGAAACTGAAGTGGCTCCAAATTTCATTCATTCGCAACAAAAAATAGAACATGCATGTGGCTAGTGTTAAAACATCCATGAAAATAGGTGGTTTGAATGCTTTCCTGGCTGTTAGATTTCCAGGTACTTCTGTAGTTTATGTATGTGAAAGTTTTAGAATAACAAACTATATGTAGACATTAATAGGTTATATTTATTTCGTGAGCCTCCCTGCCTGGAGTACTGTGTTCAGCTCTGGGGCCTGCAGCACAAGAAGGACATGGAGTTCAGAGGAGGGCCATGAGGATGATCAAGGGACTGGAGCACCTCTCCTACAGACAGGCCAAGGGCATTGGGGTTGTTCAGCCTGGAGAGGAGAAGTCCCCAGGGAGACCTTACAGCAGCCTGCCAGTACATAAAGGGGGCTACAGGGAAGCTGGGGAGGGACTCTGTGTCAGGGGGTGTGGTGATGGGAATGGCTTTAAACTAAAAGAGGGGAGATTTACATCAGATGTCAGGAGGAAATTCTTAACTCAGAGGGTGGTGAGGCCCTGGCCCAGGCTGCCTAGAGAAGCTGTGGCTGCCCCATCCCTGGAGGTGCTCAAGGCCAGGCTGGATGAGGCCTGGGAGGTGTCCCTGCCCATGGCCGGGGGTTGGAATTTGATGCTATTTAAGGTCCCTTCCAACCCAACGCCCTCTATGATTCTATTCTATGATACAAAGGTACGTTGTCAGTTGTTAACTTGCCAGTAGTTAATAAAAGGCTAGGTATTTCTAACTCACTCCAAAATGAATGAGGCAATGGCCAGTCAAAGCTTCAACTCCATCATCTCCCATCACGCATCTATGGCGTCTATTCAGTCCCCTCCCCCTACAAGACTGCTTTGAAGCCCCAGACACATTCCTATGGCAGTAATTAACCGGTACTACCACATTCCTTTTCCAGGTTATTTCAGCCAAAGAATTTGTAGACCAGAGAAGTCTCACCTCTAACCACCTCTGCTTGTTAGCCCTTAATGCAAAGGGCTAAGTGCCTTGCTCCATTCGCTGTTAAAGGAAGCCACATCCTGTTGTGGTTGTTCCCCTGTGTCACATCTTGAGAGCAGCCTCCCTCTCTGCTCAGCTGGGCACGCAACCAAGTCCAGATACACTTTCTACTGAGAAATGTCAGTCACAGATAATGTCCAAATTACTGCATCTTGGTAACTAGATTCAACCAAGAATCCTTGCTAAAATTTATTTTGGAAGAAAAGAACTTTTAGGAGTTTGTATAATGTGTAATTCAGGTTTCATATCTAATTTATTTGCCCTCTGTCAGTGATAAAGTCATGTTACAAACATTTGCTTTTTAGTACATTGCCTGGGATAACACAGCCATGGTTTTGCTACGTTAGCATTCCAAACTTCTTTGCCAAGCCAACCAACAAAGTAATGGACAAGACCTTTGGTTCACTTATATATTTATGAATGGAAAAAGTCATAATGTAAATTTACTTATTAAAAAAACTTGGGTACAAATTACACATACATAAGACCACCCATTTTTTGATTCACATGGACACCTTAGACCCAAACAACTCATTATAATAGACTTTAGTGAGAATACTCCAGGTAAAGATTACAACAATTGGAAGCATCTTGGATTTTTAAAAAAGTATATTTCAATACATAAGTTTGTATGCATGCTTTAAACAAATATAGTTCAAGAATGAGCAAAGAGTCTAAACAAAAAGTAATATGACCAGCACTAACATTAAACTTCTCATCCAGATTTTAATATGTTAGTCTAACGTAGTGTTAGTTACCATGCTGTACTGAAAAATGTAATGGCACAATCTGAATCATGGTTCATTAAATATTATACCCTACTTCCCCAGAATATTTAGGCTGGTCATAAAATTAACAATGCATAAGTAAATAAGTATAACCAGTTATAGACAGTTGCTTGTTTTACAAATTGTCATCAGGTTAAGACATACCGTCTCCAGAGACTTAGAGAGATGGACATTCAATCATACCATTAAAACAGTATGGCCTGAAGAAATGGGCACATTTTCTGAAAGTATATTAAGACAATTCTGTTAGCTTTTAGTTACCCCTTGTAAATAATCATGGTATGACTGAATACAAGACCCAACTTTGAAAAGCAAAGGATTTTAATCGGCATAGTGCATGATTGATTCGACGTAATTCCCAGGAAACAAGCCAGTTACTCGATTGCAAACTCCTTCATACCAGCCGTCATCGTTCTTCTTTATCACATAAATGATTGCACCCTCCATAAACGACAGCTCATCGTCTTTGTCCTTTGTATAGTCATATATAGCAACAACTGTGGAGTGAACAGAGGAAAAGTTTAGCATCACGCCAACAGCGCCAGTCAGAAATTCTTTTGAAGTACAATTGTATTTTGAAAAGACCAGTTTGCCATGCTGGGGCTTTCCATTCTGAATTCACAGGGTTTTCCTGATCAACATCCAGTACACAAAGTGACATTTCCCTTTTCTTGCAGTACTGGCTACCAGTAAGTGGGCGGTGACTGCACTGGATACTCAGTAAACCTTCTGGTGTGGAGAGGTACAGTTGGCTGGGGCCCAGCAGAAGAGTGCACACGGACTCTTAAATTTGAAACTATGAAATAGGTGGTCCACTAAGGTGGCAGTAATTTCTGGTCAGAGTACCTCAAGAGCATGCAGATCCCTGCATAGGAATCTCTTGACTAGGAAAGCCTAAAAAAACCCCACCACTCTATAAAAAGGGACCTATAGGAAAATTTTTTACACAATGGCCCCTGCAACTATGCAGTGAGTGCTGCAATGCCTGATTTTGTAAACAGAGCTGCTTAAGGCCCCTCTGCAGAAGTGAATGATTTCCTGTCTTTTCTACAGAGTTTCTATGTGATGGGAAGTTTTGGCATTTCTTCTAAAGGGCTGCAATGAGCGCAAGTACCGAAGTTACTGCAGGAAAAAAGTGCAAGTGAATTTACAGCAACATCCACTATATTATGGTACCTGCCTGGTAAATGCATTGCTCTTACCAACCTCCCGCTTACTGTGGCAACTAACAAAGCAGAGCTCTCCCTAAGTAAAGGCAATGTCACCAACTCTAGCACTGGAATTAAAAAATACCACCACGAATACACAAGCTGTGGACAGCACAGCCGCACCCTCTAAAACAGTTGGTATGAATTTATGCAGTCGGTTGTACAAATTCCAAGATCCTATTATATTATATGTAGGTAAAATAATCTTCTCAGAAACACAATCTTTTAAGAAACCAAATGCCTAGCAAGTAATGGTGCAGCGTGTCAGTTATTTTCACCCCGTGAGGACGCCCTGCACGGAGCAGAGCCAGCAGGGAAGGTGGAGCAGAGCAGCTCTGTGGCTGCTGCCGTGACAGGTATCGCAGACGTCCCCTTCCATACGCCCTGCAGTGCTAGCCAGGTCCTGAGAAAGCTTGTCACACTGCTGTTGACAAACTGGGCACTGTCCTAACACACACAGCTCTACAGGCACGAAATCAGCACCTCAGCTATTCATGGGATGAAGCATTTACTGCAGGAGTTTGTGTCTCAGCATAGTTACAGTCTGCTGATCTAGGCTCACTGCAAGTCCCCATGGAAGCCCCACTACATTTCAGAGCAAAACGTCCACTGATCCACTCTGGCCAGCTCTCTGGTTTGACAGGACTGAGACTTCCTGGCATTTCTGCAACACTTTCTAGATGATTGCCCAGCAATCCTGAGGTAGCTTCAGACACAATCCAGCAGCTCGGCAAAGATGAAAAAAAAATGAAAAGCCGATTCACATCTGCTTCTCATAACTGTTTTTTTTTAATCCCTTCATTCTAGAATGCTTGAAGGTATTTCATAATCCTTCTAAAGAAGGATTATATTTTATCACATCAGGTGTAGCCACTGACAAACTACGAAAAGAACGGCTGGAGTTCCAACTTAGCAGGGAAAATGGTTGTTTTCACCAGACCCAAGCTAAGTCCTTCATCCTCTTCAGACCCCGTTAATCCTCCAGCACTGCAGTACCACAGAGTTGCCACACTTCTTACCTTTCTCTATATAGTTTTTAGGCGCCCAGGCAGGATCTCCATCCGCGTAGGGATCGCTGTACTGCACAACAGCAGCCTCCTCGTCCTCGTAATCCACAGGGGGTGGGGGCGGAGGAGGAGGAGAGTCATCGAACATCGGCATCTCGTCGGGGGGCGGTGGGGGGGGAGGAGTCGGGCTATCAGCAACTGGAAACGTTGGGAAATCATGATTTTTTTAATCAAAACCAGCGTGCAGGCACAAACCAACCTGAGGCTGTAGCACTGTAAATAAAAGGGGTGGGGACGACGACACACACACAGCATGCACTATGATCCCATGCACTGATTAGAAACAGAGGCTCCGTATTAAAAGCTACGACATACAGCTACGTTCGGTATTAGTGGTCAGATCTAGGTATAAATGCTACTAGAGTCGAAGCACATGCTGCAGGGCGTAAGCTGACCACCAGCAGAGAGGAAAGCTTCCTGCCCCGACGTCCCCGCGCCGAGGGCTAGCGGCAGCAGCTATGGGAGGACTCCGAGCGGCACCCTCTGAGCCAGGCAGCAACAGGCCTCTGGACTGCACCAGCAGCTCAATTTTATAACAGATCCTTTGCCTAGACAAACATTTTCATTTGTTTCCAAACACTACTGCCTTGGATTCCTTCTCTCGCAGAGCTAGCCTTCAGGGGGCAAAAAGATCTGGTGCAGATCACGAAACCAGGAAGAGAGCAGAGTTTGAGGTCTAACCAGGTAAGAGAAAGCCAAATAATCCTGCAGAAGGAAAGCTCTGTACAGATCCTTAGCTTCCAGACTAGCTTGTGCACATGCACACATCCAGGATTCATCTCATAGATGGAAAACTACAACAGGCAGCTGCTGTTCTGTGGGGGAAAGTGCTCAAGGAATGAAGTGTGTAATCTAAAATGTCAAATCCCTGCCCTGAGATTCTCCAATCAGCACAATTACAAGTTGCTTTGGGAAAGGGAAAAAGGAGAAAGGCATTCTGGTACAAAGCACTCTTCAAATTAGCTCATCAAATTAATTTTCAGTTCCCCGCAGCTGGCAGCAAAAGGGAGAGGGAGAGGACTCAGATGCGAGCCATCGAGTCACTCCTCGCACTGCTCACTACACATCAACCTAGGTGTGAGCACCACGAAACCACGAAGTTACCAACAAGAAGTTACTGGCACCGAACGCGGCTTTTTATACAGGAATACAGATTTAATTACGAGCAATTTGGGAGCCTGCACATTGAACACAGACACAGGGTGAACACCCTTGCTCTTGAAGGTTTGACTGAGGGAGCAGGGCATGTGCTCCACAGGCTGGGTGCGTGCTCCCAACCACGCCGCTAATTTTAGGGAAGCTAAGCTGACCTGCAAGGAATCAACACCACAGCACTGAGTGGAGGTCCAGCTATTGCTAGTTACAGCAGCACTGAGAATTACAAGGGTTTGTAATTACCAGGGTTTCCTTGCTTTAATGCTCTTTACATCTGCCTGGCTTCTGCTCCAGCAGTGCCCAACCTTTGGGCTTCGGCCGCGTGCCCCTCACGAGGGGCTTGAGCTCCGCTGCCACATCCTGGCCGTGCTGGTACAGGGGAAGCCAAATCCCTCTCTGCAAGGGCCAGGAGCTGCTGGGGCAGCAGCCCTGGCACCCAGCCTGCACTGTCCCCCCTTGGGGAGCTGCTGCTCTTCCTCACCTGCAGGCCCAGCAAATTGCAACGTGACCAGCTGGGCCACACAGCCCACAGCCCCGCATCAGCAGGCTGCCTGCCACTGTGTCAGGGATCCCTCGGCCATACAGAGCCCCATTTGTGTCGCTTGGAGACAGACTAACAGAGTCTCCGGCCAGCTGAATGCTGTGCCTTGCCTGCGTTACTGAGCAGCACTCCCGGGCAGGCTTCATTAATCCACCGCAGACACACGACAACACGATTTATAAAGGGGCCAGGGCTGTGCAGTCTTCTCGGCACATCTCTCACAAAATGTATTTCTAGCCTTAATTTTCATGTGCAGCCAGGAAAAGAGAGCATCGAGGCAACGCTCCTTTGGGATGCTGGGAAATCCTTACCTCACTGAATGCAAAAAGTTGTATTTAGTTGACAACGAGTTGCTTATTTGAGAAGAATAAAAGAGGGGAGGAAATGCAAGCGTGGAAGTGCCAACACTGATAGACCCTAACCGAGATGCAGTGCTGAATCTGCGTGCTTCACGGGAAACATATACAGCGATTTAACTTCACATTAAAACAAGGGGAGAAAATGGAACAGAAAATTAGACAAGTACCACCCCATGGACATATCCCCACCTCTGGGATTTTACCCTAGACGTTTCCTGGCTCTGAACATAAAACAGGCAGAATCTAGAATAGAATTAATTTTCCTAGGAGGGGGAAGAAAAAAAAAAAAACGGGGAGAAAAAAAAAAAAACGCACAGAAACCCACTCTAAATGAGAAAGGGGTCCGGACCAGTATTTATACAGCTCCAAACTGAAACATCCTCTCTTGTATGTGCTCACATTCCTGTTCTTTAAGTGGGTACCAGCAGGGTCCTCTTTAAAGGACTGGGTGTGACAGTGACAGTGCAGCAGTCTACATCCGATCAGAGGTCTCTGGGCACACCAGAAAACCTCTCTGAAGGAGATACCCACAGGTTGGGCACAGGGCGCAGGAAAAAAGGAATAGGCCTGGCGTGTTTTCTAATCCATCTGCCCTAGAAGAAATCTGAAAGACTTCCACGTGGTGGGGGGTGTTGCTTTCCAAACCCACGGATCTTCACGATAAGGAAGGATCATTTTCCCACAAAAGACAAGCCTACCCACACGTCTCCTAACTCCACTCCACGTAGACATCTGGTAGAAAATGAGGCAGACGAAGCACACAACGCCAAAACTCAGCAACGGCCCCTACAGCCAGTTTTGCTGAGCGTATGCTTGGACTGCCACACGCACTGCCACCTCCAAGATGCAGCTCAAGGCTATGCTCATTAGGTAACTTTCCAACCCAAGGGACTATTAAAGAAGGAAAATAAACGGAACAGTTCCTAGACCAGATTTCAAGCTTCAGCTATTTTTGCTGCAATCTCGTTCCCAAGCCAGCTTTATTTCTTGTTGTGGCACACACAAGTAAGTCTGTCCCTTTCACCTCGGCTCTCCCGAGTGCTGTGTTACCTCCAGGAGGACGATACGTGGCACAATTCAGAAGCGGGTGCCAATGTTCTCAAGTTTATCTGCAAGTGAAGACATTCAGCGACCTTCATCTTTAGGGAAGTCTACCTCTAGGCCTGGCATTTTGGGACGGTTGGTCAACGCATTTTTGTGGCATGCTGTTCTACAATGTGATTCTTAGCATTCACCTGGCAGAACACCAAAACATCTTTTTGAATGGGAACCATAGAGATGCCTCTTATCTCTAGGGGAATGCTCAAACATGAGCACTTAAAAGCTGGTACGGGAAGCTGGAGGCCCCTAAGTACACGCTGGAGCATCACTACGTAGTAAGAGCCTCCGAGGCTCTAGCAGGCTTTGCCACAGTTCCCAAACACTTTAAGAAATGTTTTACACTCATTATGTATGTTTTATACTCATTTCATGCCCTATCTACATTGTATTTACTCTGTTGTTTATAGAACTACAACATTCTCCTACAACAGAGATGTCCCCGCAGCAGGAGCATGACTTTACCCCTGTGCTAGCATTCGGGACAGAGCAGTCACCTGGAAGGAATCAAACAAAAACAGTAAGAGCAGAGAGACCAGTGGAAAACACCTTGCAGCACAGATCATAGCCAGGAGGCATCTCTTTCACAAACCTAACTGGCAAAGCTATGCTGCAGGAAGCTCTGCAGGGAAACCTGGCTAGAGGACACAAAGAAATGGAGAATGAAAGGCTGACGAGAGGAGAAACACCTTAGGAGCTCCTTTGTGGTGGCATTAGATCATAAGACTGCATATTTTCAATTGACTGTGTAGGTTCCTAAAAACTACTGAAGGATTAGAGCCAGTGGTTACGCAGTGCATATTTTGACAGTCTGCATAAGCCTTTCTAACAAAAACTAATCAATTATCCCTACTGAAGAAGCCTCAGGCAGGATGAATCAACATGAAATTAATATTTTTAATTAAGAACCGATTCTATATTCAGACCAAGCAGATGCCACGCATTTCACGCTGTATTTCTATGATAAATTTGCAGCTCAGATCTTAAATGGGTCAGTAATAATCATGCACGTTATAAAATATTGAAGAGTGTGCCCTTCAGCTCCGATAGCATATCGACACTAGAATGCAAGATGGTATTAGCTTCTGGAAAAGGAAACAAAATAGAGTCTGACTTGCCAGCCATGCATGCTAGAAGAAAGTAGGCTCTACCCTTTAACAGCTCAGCTTGTCCAGACTTACTGTTTTCCTGCACCCTGGCCACGAAGCCTGTGAGAGGTATCTGTGGAGTCAACTGAGGCATAGGGGGAGGGGGTGGAGCAATAGAAACTGGTAGCAACGCACACAGCATTTCGGGGGAAGTCAACGGACACGGGGGAAAAAAGGAAAAAAAGAAAAAAAAAAGGAAACAAACAAAAGCAGCCGTCAGTAACGAGGACCACAAAAAACAAAGTATGTAAAGAACAACAAGAACACACACACACGGAAGAACCTTCTTCAAGCTTGTGTTTCCAACAAGGCTGAATTCGTGGCTAGCCAATTGTGGCTTGAAAAGCAAAATGTGCCCGTGCCCATCTGCGCAAAAGGCAGGGCACAGGCTGCGTGTCGGGGAGCTGCGTGTGCCAAGGGGACCGCTCAGCCTCGCTCGGGCAGCACGCAACATGGGGCTTTCCATCACACTGCTCAAACGTAGGAGTTCTCCTTAAAAAGCGTGCTACCAGAAGAGGAGGTGATGCTGTAGAGGATGCTGGACTCCTCCTCTAACATAAGAGCAGGGAGCTACACCAAATGCAGCGAAGCAGCCCTGCCACAGAGCAAAGACGACTGCTTTGCAAAGGCAACGATGCTGTCATGTCAATGCTCTGTGTCCGCACAGGGAGCACCTCCTGTCATTTTGCTCTGCTCAGGCTTACGAGCAGGGCAGTGGAAAAATGGGAAAAGGGACCTCGTTGCTTGTTGGTAGGAAAACGGGAGCTCTATTTTAAATGATCAAGTCTTCTCTGGTTAGAGGTGCTCAGCAACTTAATAATCTGGCAAAGGCTTGAATAGCTACCACTGGCTACACCGGTGCCCAGAGCTGCCCAGGAAGCCACAAGCTCATCTCCTGTGAAGTACGGACCTCCTCAGCGAGAAATGAGGTGTGAAACTCAGGCACCAGTGCTCAGAGGTGCTGGGCTGACAGCTGAGGTGTTCAACTCTTTCCTCTGCAAGTAGGAAATGGGCATGGTGGTGGCAGGATGTGCCATTTATAGTACCAGCTCTGGTGGGACATCTCCCAGTGAAGGAGGGGGGGGAGAACAAAGCAAACAAAACAATAAATAAAAAAAAGAAACAGAAAAAGAAACAAAAGAATATAACTCATTTGTTCATATCAAGCCCCTTCCCAGGAGAATTTCTCTTACACTGAAATAGAGAAGTTCCTGTGAAGGTGGGAATTCAGCAGTATACTCCAGTTGGAATCAAATTTGAAAGAGGTTCTGTACTTCCAAGTATGCAACAGTTTTAAATAAAGCCATAACTAAGATTAATGTTTGATGAATAAAAACAAAGCATTTAGTTCATTACAAAACCAATAATCAAATCAACTGTATGGGGAAAACAATCAATAAAAGAGGGACAACAAACAGGTTTCTCACAAAATTGAAGTAAACATCTAAGAAAAAACAGAATATTTGTTAGCATGAGAAGTAAAATCTTAAAGAAACATGGAACCTAGATTTAATGTCAAGACAGTAGCATTAAAAAAAATCACCAGTTACAGAAATGGAGAAAAATAGTTTAAAGTAGAAAAACACCCATCAAAATACTGTTCAAAAAAAATTCTTGACAATCAGTATTTTGAAAACACCAGAGAGGCTAGACTAAGGAATAGCACCTGCATTTGAGCAAAAAATTGCTTTGGAAAACTACAACTGTTCAGAAACAGTGGTGTGCAGAGCATTCGAGGCAACTGAACTATTTTCAGGAGTAATGCCCTGTTTGTTCAACAGAATACGACTGTTTGAACAGGAAGGAGTTTCTATTGCTATGGTGAATTAATTGCAGGGAACAGGAGTGTGGAGGAAAATGAAGGGTCAGTGTGGGTCAGAGAGAGTAGCAGGAAAATTAGGATTGGAAAGAAAGCTAGATAGGTACTGTGCCTGCATACAAAGGTGTTTTTGGATAAATGTAATACTTATGAACCTCTGAGAAAACTCTTCACCTCAGTGTCTCAAACACTCCGTATCTATTGTTTCCTTAAGAGTAAATATACTAACAACCAGCACTCGTCTGTAGTGAGCTTTAGCCCAAACATCTACATTTTGTTTTAATGAAACATCACTTTGAAGTTTAAGGAGTTGGCACACCACCAGAAGCCACTGGAGTCCTATCACTCCTCTACTTATATTTGGTCAAAATGACCCTTGCTGGAGTTCTTCCTTGTGAAGCAGCAAGGCAGAAGTTCCTGATCTAAACCTAGCTTTCCACCAAGATCATTCTATTAGATCCCTATTTTTGCAGAGCTTTCTGCAGTCAACCTTGCTTGCCTTGCTAGGTGGTTAGGCAGAATGTTGATGACTAAAACTAGCTCAGTTTTAGTCCCCAAACTAACTCCACTGCATCCCATCCCTCATCCATCCCCACCTATTCTACTCGTGTGGAAGCACAGAGGAGTTGTCTGCTTAAAAGAAAAGAGGCTGAACTCTTCTGTCCTTTCTTTAACAGTAAAATTTAAAATGAAGAACAAAGGAGAAACTTGGAATCAGGGATTTGGGAATGAGACAGAGACAGGGAGAAACTATGTAATGGGAAAAGCTTGTCATAGGGGCGCTGTGCTCTGACAGCACTCTCTTGCCACTAGCCCAGTAGTGGAGGGAGTGTGCTACAAGCACATTAGGTCTCCTGAAAAAAAATCTGATTTTAGTTTATGTTCCCCAAGCACACCTGAAATACTAAGTATAATGTGCCTATAATTAGATAGGCAATCATAATAATTTCTTGCCATGAGTAACAGCAAACAACTCAGGGGAAAAACAGTGTAATTGCATACAGTGCAATCACTTTACAACTTAAAAAGGGTTTTTCTTGTTTGTTTTTCCTTCTATTTTAGGAAAGAAAGCAATAATCTTATTGATGCTTTTCACAAATACGTTAAAACGTCATGCATGCTTGTACAATCATTTTGCTCAAAACAGTTTGTGATTTCAGAGCTCAGAAGCTTACTTGAATTTTGAGAATAAAGAGGCCCGCCATTAACATGAGGTTGAGCAGAAAATGGGGCAGTCACAGAAGGATTCCGTCTGTATCCACCAGAAGATGCTGAAGAAGTGGTAGAGTTGTGTCGCGAGATTTGCCTGGTCATTGTGCCATACTGGGAACCAGGAGCTGAACCCGGAGCAGCTGAAAAGCATTAGCCAGAGGAACCGAGGAGAAGACTTAAGCAGAGAATTACTTGGGGCAGAATGCAGAAAATAGAAAAAGCCCAGAACATGGGAATCACTTGATTACAGACCACCAATAACTTAAGGCAGTACCAAGAGATTAATAGAAAACAAACACCCCTGTTATAATCAATAATGAGAAAAAAACACACAGGACATAAAATAACATTGATATAAAGGGCATTTGAGAAATGCTGGGAAAACTACTTTGACAGACTGGGTGGGACTGGGAAGTTGAGCCAGCTTCCAGCTGGTAAGCATATCTCAATAATTCTACATGCAATACCCTTTATTAAAAAGCACACGCAAAAAAATCCACATTCTGCTCAAAGCAAACGTTTTCCATTGTGAACCAGAACTTGTCTCCAATCTAATATCAAAAATTGCTCTAACTAAACAGTAAATTAAATGACATGAGCTTCAGACACTTGGCATGTTTGCCAATCATGTTTGCTACTTGTGGTTTTGTATTCATGGAATTTATACTTCTACCAGATCAGTCACCAGTGCAGGCTGTCAGAAAGACATGTCACTCACTCGTCAAGACGAACACCCATTTTTACCTTCCACATGCTCGCTGCACAAAATTCAACGTTAATAAAAACAATTTAAGCGCTCTTTCTGCATTAACCTCTGACAAAGGAAAGAATCAAACCTTGCAAACTAACCAATCTCACACGTTGAGGTCACATGGATTCAATGCACAACTTTGCAATGTTTCAGTGCAAGAATTGTTTTGCAGTAGAATGTTCTGTGCTTTTAAATGCATACGTATATATCTTATATAACCATATAAAAATATATACAGGAATGCATACACACACACGTACACACACGAACTGTGTGTGACCAGAAGTTTGCAGTCCTGTAGTGCCATCCACAGTCACTTTCACTTAAACACTCCGGTAAGAGAAAGTGTAACAGGTTATGTGGGTCAAAGCCTCCAAAGCTCGTCTCTTAACAAGATCAATGAATTTTGCCATCAGCCTGTGATAGGAAAGGGGTGGTGGCATCAGTCTTTTTATACTTACTACTTTTAAATCCATTCCTAACAGCTGTATGTAATGTTTGAGGTAATTTTTGAAGAACTGTCAGCTTGTATCCACAAGTCTTCCGGTTTGGCATCTGCCTGCTGCAGCACAGCATCAAACCCAAGCCACTGTGACAGACACTACTGCCTTTCAATCACCATATCCCCACAGGATAGATCACATACATCACACGTCAGCTTCCATTTTTTAAGTGAGAGTGCAACCATAGTGGCTTATTTTCAACTGCAAGAGTGATACAGCAGAATACCAACATTCAAGCTGATTTGGAATTATTATAGATCAGACTAATTAGATCTCAGCTTTATTGGGAACAGAGATTACAAGCAACTAGCAACCTCCCCCCATACCTTGTGCGTTTACCTTCAGAGGCTTTAACCACGGAAAATTAGTGAAGATTAGATTGTTTAAAGAAAACAAAAATCACCCCAGAATCGATTTGTGTACTAAAATCATACAGCACCCACTACAAACGAAAAAACAGCTTCGCTAAGTCCATTAGGAAGAGATGATTATTGATTATGCAGCACGACTGCAATCACTTCAGCATTGACACAAGTCTCACCTATCAGACTGCCCATCGGGAGAGGTGGTGGCAGTGGTGGTGCTGGCGGGGCTCCAAGAGGAGGAGGAACAGAAATGTGTGCTAATAAAATAGTTTATATTCCCAATTAGGCCATATATTAAAAAAGCAAATAAGAAAGCATGGGCACATGATAGGCTTCCCAAACAAATACAAAAATTCAACTTGAGTCAAATAATAATAGCTCAGGCCCTGATCCTACACAGGGTTCTGTATCTGCAGATCTTTATTCCCATTGATTTCAATGGGATGACAGATGATAGTAAGATTCATGCCTATTTGTACCACTGCAGGGTCTGAAACACCTGGGAAAAAGAAAGGAAAGCCTACATGTGCATAAAAAACTGAAGACTTGCAACCAAGGAACAATGATTTAAGAGGTGCAATAGCATAAATACATTGCACCAAAATTCCACTATTTTCCTGTACAAATTAATTTTATGTGCTTACAAAGACACAAATGTAAGCAAGTGTCAGAGTTGGTTTATTATCAAGATAATCCTGCAGTCTACTAATAAAGAAGGATTCTAAACAATCACACAATTCATCATTATTAAAAACAGGAGGACATGTTTTTGGTGATGAGAGATCCTTCATGGTTCTCTTTTATTGCTGTCCTCGAGTATAACACTTGTTCTCCTGCCTCTCACAGTGATCCCCCTCATAGCTTAGCAACTTCAGACTGTAACAGAATAAATGACACTGGTGGATGAGTCTGAATTCTACCACTGGCAATTTTTTGTAGGTCATCTTCTGTTTTTTATTTGAGGTAAAGACTTTTATTTAATTAAGAACACACACAGAAAATCATTGGCAGATGGTAAATTAGTAGACTATTTTGGAAAAAAAGATTTCCCATCAAATATGTACTGACAGTTGCTGCTGTTTCTCAGGACACTCGGAAATGCCTACTTGTAGGCATGGCCCTTGAAAATGTACTGAAGCTTTAAAACGTCATGCTCTTCCCCTTTAGCGTCCCCTATCCCATGATTGTCTTGTCAAAACATGGACAGACAAAGGTGTTTTAACCATCTGTTATTCCACGAGTGATTGTTCTGTAAGTACTTCTGGTAAAGAATTAAAACTTTAGATGTCCCTCAGCACTCATAAGTGATTTTCTGACTATGACTGTGCTTCGGGACAGTTTCTCCTCCATTGTGTTCAGTAAAAATTCCCTCTGCAAACACATGACTGTCATTACAGCCTAAAGCTAACATGAGAAGAAGAGCCCCTCATACCTGGTCCAATGGTTGGCGGTGAAGGTGTAGGCACGGCAATGGGAATGCCAATACTGCTGCTTCCACTGTTCTCTCGACTGCCACTTCCTCCACTACTACCGCTGTAAAACAGAGGAACATTGAGTATTAGCACAGCATTCCTACAATTATCAACAGTCACGTTCCTCGTGTGAACTACGCTGGCCTAACTCAATTAGAGACTTGAAAAATCCACTTTAAAAAAAAAAACCTGTCTCCACCTACAATCTCATACAGCTAATCAAGTCAGGATGCATTGCACTCCTAATAAATGGAATTAGCTAAGCTGATAAACATCACTACGCATAAAATGTCTAATTAAATGATTTCAGAAATAAAAAGGTAAGCAACCATACTAGTTCTAGGCAATGGAGTAACAACTGCAGGAATAGTTCAAGGGCCTTGTATTAATTAGAAGTATTAAGCTGGGGCTGGAAGAGTTCATGCCTAAACTGTAAATAATTTTTTAAAATTAGTTACACTATCAGCTGAAGGAATCTTCCCTCTACTCAGAATAGCGCTTGAGAATAAGAACTTTTTTAACTGAAATCAGCCACAATAAACCAAGCTGAGCAGACAGGAAATAATTTTCTGTGTAGCCAATATACCTGTTCACATACACGTGCACATACTTTTTATGTACAAAACGTTTGTTTCTGAGATAGTCTGTAAGGTAACAGTACAGCCAGGTGGTAATTTGTCTTAGTACTGCATATATGATATTCAAATTCAAGGCCAGCAATAGAGATTTGTACAGAACATATTTCTAGTGAACAACTGAATAATGTTTCTGCACATCTTTCAGAGGCCACATCATCTCTTTTCACTGAGGGAGCCGAAAAGGAATCAGTCGAGGCTCAGATGGAATCTCTCCTTATTCTTATCCATGAACATTCCTTAGGACAAGACTTGAATCTACACGGATTAAATGGATAATACAAAGAAAACTAAGTAGTCGATATGCCTTTAAGCCAAAACACCACTTTAACCCATTCATGCTAATTAAGGAGTACTCAGTGATTCTATAGTTTATTTAAAACTCCTGAGTAGCTACAAATCAATGCTGTCAAGTGCCAAGAACAAATCATTCAAATATATCTGAAGAAAATAACACCGTTACAAAAAGAAAAGCAGTGATCTGAAATGGAAGCCAAGATAATTCCTTCAAAATCAGTGTTCTGTCTGCTGAGGACCTTGATCTTGTCACCATGGTTGCGGCTGAATTTCTAACTGCAGTCTACATAAAAAAAGATCTTGTGAGACAAGAGTAGGGAGCATTCACAGTAGCCAGCTAAACAGATTAACGAGATCTTACTGCAACCTGATTTAGTTGTCACTTAATTCTGATAGTATTTCATGAACAACTGTGTCCAAAATTCTCTCTCAACCCCTCAATTAGAGACCTCCTGTGTTTAATTGCCTACTGGGAGTTAAAAAATAAATAAATAGGGAAGAAGCTGTCTGAAAAAAAAACTACTGTCTTATTTTTAACTACACTGAACAATTTTATCTGCTTTTTCCCTGCAGTTTGAAGCCTCTGATACAATCAAATTGAAGAAACCAAACTTGCTCCAGAGGCTTGGAGAAAAATCTAGCCTTGCAATTTGAGAAGAAATTTACATATTAAAAAAGAAAAGAACAAGGTACACATGAACACCTTTCTCATCCCGAAACACACTGCTCTTTCAAAGCCCTTAAGTATGTGGAAACAACTGGCTAATGCCAATACCTGCTAGTAAGGTTAATTTTCTACTTCTATCATGCTAGCACTGATTACAAGCATTTAAGTTTTAGCCAAAAGAAAGCAATCAGCTCTTTCTGACTATCTTCATCACAGCATTTCTAATCAAGAGAAACTTCTCTTTGCAATTAGTGGTCTTGAAAACAACAATAAAAAAAGATATTCTATAAAGCTTAACTATATTTAGGATAAGATTAACAATGTACCTTTTAATTTAACCCAGTAGGAACCATCATCATCCCACTTTTCAACTGCATAAATTTTGAAGTTTTGCTTATTTGGGGGAAAAAATAACACCGAACAAAACAAATCAGGTCTGTGCTTATGGAATTATGTTGTTAGATATAATGAGGCTTCAATAGAGTGCAAAAATGTTTCTGTGTGTTAGAGAAGTCAAACAATAACTACGGCGAAGTTCTGTGCATTAACAGAGTGGTAGAGTAACTCACCTTTTGCCTTTTAACAAAAAAAAAAAAAAAAAAAAAACACAAGAGCACGGAAGTTCAAAGCTTTTCTGTGACTTCAGTAAGCAGCAGCATGCCAGGCAGGAAAGAGTTTGAGTGAGGAAAAAAGTGCTCTACCTGTGTGTTCTTGGTCTCTGGTTCAAGGAAGCTGTCCTTCCCGGGCTGTGCTGGCTGCCCAGTCTGGCAGGACTGGTCATGTAATCATTAGGAACTGTTGGCGGTTTGACTGGCTCCAGGGTTTTGTAAGGAGTATTTCGTCTGGTCAAGGAAAAAGATTTGAAGACAAAGATAAATGATCAGAAGAGCAAAAGGATAAATGCATGAAGTACCGATGCCATTTGTTTCCTTCAGTTTCCATGTGAGACCACTGCACAGCGACCCGCATTACAGCATATTAAACAAATCCCACCAGGGAGAGGTGGGGTGAAATCACCTTTTACTCTTTATAGTGCTCTTGGGTAGAAAGATCCACACAAGTTGGCCTAGAGCACAGAAACTGATTTAAGAAGCCTAAGCTAAATTTAACACCAAAAATCTCTTTGTTATCTACATACCACACAATAGTTACACCTGCATACTATTCCAGGGTTATCTTTTAATCCACTGCATGTGACCACTTCTTCCACGGTAACAACGTCCTCTTTCTCTTCCTCCCCTCTGAACGCTTAACTGTCCTAAAAGCATTCTTGGCTAAAAGGTATTCCACTCATTAAGACAGGAGCAAGTCTGAAAGATTCGCAGACCAAGTTACATTTGCAATCACCAGGGCTTTTCCTAGCAGCATTGTTTCATGCTCTAATCAAGCATATCACTTCAGCAGATCTTTAAGTGCTTCGCAGATCAGCTTCATTGTCTCCATCTTACAGACAAAGAAAGTGAAGCTCGGAGACTTCCAAGGTCACGTAACAGGCTGCATCAAGTCAGGAATATAACACAGATCTTTCCAGATCTGTTTACCCGACCCGTCGCTGCCTCAGGAGCAGCCTGCGTATTGTGCTCAACTGCAGAGCTTCTCGGTTCGCGCTAGCAACTGAGAGATCCCTTGCAAGACACAGGATTTGGCAAAGCACCAGCTAAGCAAAAACAAAAATAGTAAACTACTGGCATTTAATCGTTTCTTCACTTACTGGTTATGACCGAGCTGGTGAGTGCCATGGCTTCACAGTGTTTTAAGGAATGTATCCACTTCCTTTTCACAATACGGAACAAAACAGCGCTAAATTTTAACTACGAAGTTTTATTATTAAAACCTCTCTAAATAGAAAAACGGAAGCATCATCACTGTTTGTACGAGCTATGGTGTTTGTAAATTAGTTTGCCTATACAAAGAACTGCAGATGAGTTTGATGCGCAGACTGCTACCACCTACGGAGCTGCCAAAAGAGATCAGCCATGGGAAAAATAAATTTCGTAATCCAGCTGTAAGAGATAGAGCTCTAAATGCCACCAAATCAAATGGTAAGCACGGAAGATTTTCAATGTGCTTCCAACAAAAACAGCTTTGAAAACTAATGTTTTAAAGTGTTGTCAGTGGAAATGCACTGGCAATAGGAAATGCAGCCCCTCGGCACTATTTATTTTGCCAATCGGATTAAAATATCCTATCAAAAGCAACCCCCTGCTACGTCCTCCAGTTCAGCCAAGCTTCAGTTCCTCTTTGCTCTTCTCAACTTCACTGAAGGACTCAAACTCCCAAGCACCAGAGAAGCAAAAAATAATTTATTTCTGCCTCCTGAGTCCAATCCTTGCCTTTGTTTCTCTGTCTGCCTTACACGGGGGAGGACAACAGCCCTGTCCCGGCACAGCCCACAGCTGCCCACCTCACCGTCCCCTAATTCTTGCCACCAGGGAGCTGAAGGCAGCCCAGGGCCGTGCTCTGCTCCAGGTCCCTCACGGTGCAAATGCAACTACTCCTTCCATCCAGCTCCACTCATTTTGTCCCCCGGTGGATTTCCAGCCTGAGCAGCTCCGATGAAGACCCCCCTGCTGCCATTCCTTTCATTTTGCAGCTCGGACCTGCGAGCAGGGCTCCTTCCCTCCCCACAGCCCTCCTTTGGACAGCCCTGCCTTGGAGGGAAGAGCTGTACAATAGGCAGCACGTACTTAAAGGCCCGTGTTAGACACCAAGCTTGTTCTGATTTTACACGCTTATCTCTGGTTTTGCGGATCAAAGGGAGAGGAGTAGCATCCTTGCGGTTTCTAGCGATTTTTCCTGCATATGTTAGGGGAACCAGTCATGCCGATGATATTTCGTGCCTTGGCAGAGCGTGGCTGCTCAAGACAAGAGCTTCCTGAACAAGAAGGGCAGATAGGAATCGCTGTACGAGCCCACATTATTCCTCCCCCTCAGCCAACTGCTGCCTCTCGTCAAGCTCATCTGGAAATGACGTTCAGCTGATTAATCCTTATCAGGCAGCAGCGGAGGCAACCAAACAGCTCCGGCTCGTTCGGGGGAGCAGGAACGAGGCAGCTCACCAGTGCATCAGCGCCGCTGCTTCACTCCCAGCGTCCAAGAGGACATGAAAGCCTTCCCCAGCTTCCCGGGGCTGATAAACAACTCTCTCAGCCGGGATAAGAGAGACAATTGGAATACTGATTGCGTGCCCTCGAGCAATGGGAATTTTCACAAAACATGCCGAGGAAACCCCTAGGGTAATTTCTGTGTAGAATACACAATAAACACAGCCATCTTGAAGCAGCAAAGCAGCAAATCAGGATTAAAAATCACTAAGTCTTTGACAAAAGCAGTTGCTGCTCCTGATTTTCCTCGACCGCTGCTCCTGTTCTGTCTCATCATTCCTCATTTTTCCAGCTCCCCACTTCTTCCAGACAACGTACCTGAAGCCAATACAACCACACCAGCCAGCTTTGCAGCGCCTCAGTCTCCCACAGCATCAGGGAAATGCTGAGAGGGACAAATAGGTAGATCTTGGTTTGGATGGCTTCTGGAAGATGGGCATACAGAACGGCGTGGCACATGCTCTGAGCTTTTCAGGTATTAATGCTTCGGTCCCTAGCAACAACTACTTGCTGGCACACGATGATAAGCAGATTTTCCTCCCCACAGGTCCACGGCAGTGAAATTGATGCTACAGTAGGGAACTGAAGTCACAGGGGGACTTGGGGAAAGCAGCATCTTTCCTCATTTAAGCATGCAAATAAAAATTCACCAGCCAGTGAGAATCAGTGTTGTCCGTGTGTTAACAATGCCATGAATTTTGCTGAGATAATTTAACAAATAGGGCATCAACAGCTACTTCTTATCTCTGTAATATTGAGAAACAAGCAGACAAAGAACTTCAACAATGAAGTCCTTCCCCCACTGAAGTTAAAACCTTATTGATATTCTCTCATGTCACCAGAGATTTCTGTCCAAAATTCAGGAATAACAACAGTCTTCTCATTCACCCATATCTGTAATAAATCCTCTCCCTCATGAAAAGTGGCTCTTTCGAAAGGTCACCACGAAAATAAGAGGCAGTGCAGCTGAAAGGGTTTATACAAAAAAAAGCAATTGCATTATTTGGTGAAGGCAATCAGAACCACCATCCATTCCACCTATTTAACAAAACCCTACCATGGGCACAATTAAAACTATCTATTACGCAGGAGGCACCAAGCAGCTTTCATTCTTACCCCAGAGTTCCCCGGCCTGACATGGGAGGACTTGGTGGTTTTTGTGTAGGCGGATTTGTTCTTGACAAGGTGCCAGTTCTTGCAGGCTGGTTATTTCCATGCTGAAATAAGGGAAAACATGATTTTATTTTTATAACGGAGCAGCTCTATTATTGACAGTTTTTTTGTGTTTTTTTTTTTTTTTTAAAGTGTAAGAATATGAAGTGAGAATTCCCAGACAGCTGTCAAACAGCAAGTTTTTAGCTACACACAAGACAGATACCAGTATATACAACGAGTCTAAATACAAGCTTAATGTTATTTTTGCTATTAATTTACAACAGACATCAGAAAGCTAGGCAGTTGACAGGTTCATGCACAAATCTCTTATATCTCTTTTCTTTAGGGAGAAGCCACATTTGTGTTCGTCCCAGTTCGAGTGTTAATAATTTAACCCAAACTTTAACGCTGACGGTACGACACTGTCAGCATGGGCCCAGAATTTCTCAGTTTGCCCCTGCTATTTGACTAGCAGAGTCATTCAGGTTGTCTGGGAAGTCTCCTGCAAAAAAAAATAATAAAAATGTAAGTGGAGGGAATCAAGGCAGCTACTGAATTCAGAGCAAAGCACTACACGTGTTAGAGAAATTAATGTATCTATGTGTGAATGCAGATGTCAATGTATCACAGATAGATTGACACACGCTAATCGCTGTAAATAAAAAAAAATCAAGTACAGCACGTTTAATCTAAATATCCTATGGAAAGCAGAGGAGAGCGTAAGAGCGCGCTAGTTTTCGGTTTTAATGGCTCTGCAGCCTCTACTATCAGTCACATGAGGCACTGTGGGTCAAAGGAGAAATAACACTTCTTACCTTGGCTTTTAGCCACTTAACGTTGGCAAAAAAGGGGGGGAAAAAGGCAGAAATTAATGGCAGGTCCATGACAACTGGCAGGACAGGTTAAACTACAGATAATCACATTCAAAATATCATTTGTGCCTACTGATAATTAGCTCCATCCCAGTACACTAACAAAGATTTTACTGGCTCACATAGTCCCAAGGCAGAACTTGCAAAGATGAAACGACCCAAAGGAAAGGAAAAAAAAAACAACAACAACAAAACAGTGGCATCAAAATCAACTTAGCTCAGCTTTGATGGATTTGTTTGTCAGATTCCTCATGGCCAGGAAAGGGTTGAAGGGCCCTCTGCTGACTAGTCAAGTCCAAAAGCAGATCAATGCCATTGCAATGGCAACGTGCACTTAAGGATTTGCTCACAAAACCACAGCTGCAGCTATAGGGTGCAGAATGGGCTGGCCTGTTGTTTTGACACTTAACCTTCACGTGTTTTGAAGAAATCCTAGCTGCTGTGCTGAATGGTAAATAAAGGAAAGGGAGTCCTCGGATGGGATGAGCAGCAGAGCCTTTCACCTCTGCTTTATTGATGGAAACCTGCTTCAAGCCAGCACAGCGCTGGCTGCTCAAATCCGTGCTGGCAGTGCTCTGATGATTGTTATTCTGAAATTTTAGCTCTTAGCATCGAGTCATTATGTGACTCCGCTCTATCATTTTTACAGCCTTCGTGACTGCAGAGGAGAAAAAATTTGAACACTTGGCCTCCGTTCCCTAAGCAAAACTCGAGTAATTTTTTTAATTCCAAGTTGCGTTTTAATTCCATATTGAGTTACTTAAATTTATTGAGGGGACAGGGGTGAAGATTCTTCCTTTTTGAATGGGAAAAAGGGGTAGTTTCACTGATTAAATAAATACATACATACATACATAAATGCATAAATAAATAAATCCTAGTGCTGTTTTGGAGAGTGTTTAGAAATAAACTCTCCATTCCAGGACAGTCCTCCTAAGGCACAGCTTTACAAACTGCAGTTTGCAGACCTTCTTCTCCTCCAAGATGCACAGACTAGTCCAAAGCAGTTCATGCACTCAGAAAAAAAAATAATTACGCTTTCTAACGATGTACATATGTGAGATGGATTTCTGACGGGGCCCGCACAACCAGAGAGGAACAGTTGGGATTTTACAAATCAAGAGGTGGGAAGCCACTGCCCTGAAGTTATTCATATCACAGGAGCAGAAGCCCAAAGCCCAGTCCAAAACCCAAATGAAAAAGCTTAGCTACGGTATGTAAACGTGGAGGGCATCCCATTCGCTCCCAGTCTGGGCAGAGGTTCATCAGCAGAGTGGCAGAATTAAAGCATTTCAACCACTTCTGTCCCCACATGCTTATTTTGTGGATAAACACGAAGCTCAGTTTCCAGGATGCCTGGGTACTCTCTCAAGTATTATATTTTTAACTCAGGCTCGCAGCGATTACATTTGCTTTCCCTTCTTCCAGGACTATGTGACCCTTCCCCTTGCTTCACCAGTTGCCAAGGGCAATAGCATAATACCAGGAATTTGTTAAAAGAAACCAAATAGTGAAACTGTCGCCCTGTTCCCCTGTCCTCCCTCCCCCAGCAGCCAGACAAAACCCTCACAAGGCTTGCAAGGAAGGGTGGCATGGTTCCTTACCCAGCCTCTGCTATTACAAATAGCAGAGAAAAATTTAAAACCCCAAAGCTTCCTCGCTTTCCTTCCCTCATGTGGTGCCGCTCAGCGCTCACGTTGAGTCTTTCCACCCCCTCCTTAATCACTGCTACACTCTGCCTCCGCTGCCGCAGCACTGAACCTGGCATCCTCATCTCGTCTCCTACCTTCCTTGTGCTAAGCACTGCTCAATTCACTAAACGTACATCTCGAGTCCACCTCCTGGCCTTTGTTTTCTGTCCGTATGGCTCCGTCAGGTGAGCTCTGTCGCCTTTGCTACCAATTAAATAATACCCAGATACACAAACACACAGACTTTTATTTTGTTATTGTGCAGAAGAGTTGGTAACCGCTGTCCCCCTGCTTGCAGTAAGAAGCTCTGCAGAGCCCTCTGTGCTGCTGTTGGTATAAACAGGAGTCACAGGGCCAGGAAAACACAGAGGGAAGGAACACAAAGGGAACGGGGACTCTGAGGGGAGAGGAACTCCTGATCCAGAAGAGAGAAGTATGGGAGGAACGCAAATGAATCAAAGCGAGATGAGCCATATGGCTATTTAATCACGGTTACTAAGCTAATTAATTAGGAGGAGCCATTTTCTTGTATTTATTGGCTGAGCTCACGAGGTCAGCCTTGCTGCCTTCCTTGGTCTGAAACCCAAACTCTGTGCTCTCTAAACAATCCAAAAAAATTGCTTAGATCTGGGAATGGTTTAGGCAGCAGGGTCTAGACTTGCTATAATCTCAAGAAAAATGGGGAAAAAAAAGCAGAAAAACAAAAGGAAAAGCAAGCATATGCTCCGTGTGGGTTCAGGCATCTCTCTCCAGCTGCCTCCAGGCCAGCCAGCTGGTGGAGCACGACCAGCACCCCCAAAGCACCGCATCAGCATCACGAAGGTCAGAGGCTGGAAGGAAGGAAATGGAGGCAGGGCATAAGGAAGGTTCACAGTTTGAAAAAAGGAGAGTCTGTACCGAGAGGGAGCTGTAAAATTAGAGACAGGAGGTGCAAAAGGTTTCAAAAAAGCGTAGTGGGACAAAGAGCAGCACTGAGGACTCCTTCAGAAGCCGTAAGAAGCTCGGCTCCCTTCTCCTGCTGGCTGTATTACCAGAGACGGTCTTGAGGCAGACACCAGCATCCTGGACAACGCACACATCAAGACAAGAAGAGTGCACAGGTTTACTGGGGGCGTTTGTGATGCTGAGGCAGAGAACAAGACGGAGTAGGATGCTCCCAGAAACAAGCTAAGTGGTAGGAAGCAGCAGTACTGGCTGGGGTTTCTTGCGAGCATCCTGGCAGAGAGGCGTTTTCAAGACAAGAACAGGGCCGTTTTGCTGTTCCTGGGAAAACCTGCCAAGCGTGTGGATGAAATTTTAAGGTCTGACACAAATTTAAGAGACAGAAAACACAGGTTTAGGTTCAAGAAAGAGGAGCCAGCCCCCTGCATTTCCATATGAAGCAGCGGCACACCTGCAGGGTTTTAACTACTAAGGAGAGCAGGGTGGGCGAGGACGGAGAGCCAGCAGTGGGCTGGGAAAAAATGATGTACAGTGGGCAAAACCAGGTGTTTGTAACAGCCATGGAAGGCATTTAACAAAGGCAAAAGCACAGCTGCTTTTGTAACTGATGCAGGGACTTCAGAGAACCTGGACTGGGAGTTTTAAATGTGTTTGGACAGGGCAAACAATGCCCTGGGACAGCCAAGTGATGACTCTAAGTAAGAGGCTGACTTGCTTAAGGCAACTGTTCGAGCCTGCTCCGTTCCGACAGGCCTAACAGGCCAAAAATGAACTGCAGAGAGGCAGGACTGCAGGGCTCTGCTGTACACAGCCAAAGGGACAAGGCCACGAATGGCCCGAGATTCATGACCAGCATAAAAGGGCAGGGGTCTGAGGCCATCAGAAGTATCTGGTAGCCAAAGGATGTCCAGACATCTGAAGGGCTCTGCCGGCTGGCCTCAGGAGGCAGCCATCTACAGAACTGTTTTTAATAGTTTCCATGCCAAGCAACAAGTCATGGGGGAACATTAGTCATGATTCAGGGAATCAGAAAGCTATTATTTGAGTTGCAAATTGTGTTTGGAAAACTCCAGTTATGAACACTGCACATAACTCACTTATGTGAGCAAACCTATCTGCAAGCACAGAAATACAAAGGGCCAGTTGCAACAGGAGCAAAACTCTCACCACACTGAAGCCCAGGACCTTCTTCCATACACTTCAGGTATGAACTCTCCAGTCCAAGACTGCAGCAGCTTTAAATTTCTGGGCAGGTCGGCTGTACCTCCCCTGCTGTATGCTGCTGCTGTTTTTCCAGCTCCTGAATTTCAAGAGCCAATTTCGCTCTGTACTCCGCCATACCTAGCCTCTCTGGAAGCAGTCATTAAAGGCTATCCAGGATAAATGCTGACAATAGGGAAACAAAGGTTTAGAAACTGCTGTCGCTCTAATCTGCATTAATAGAGGGTGTATGGCTAACTCGGAGCTTTAATATGTATACTCTGTAAAGGCAATAACCAGCCTTAGATCTGTTGTTACCTTTGGCCAGTAATCAGTCACCAGCTGCAACAGAAAAGCAGGACTGCTCTTGATGACTCTTTAGCCAACCTCCCCTTTTCCTTAAAAAGTTATATCCTTTATTAGCCAAGGAGGAATCATCTGGGACATCCCTGCAACAACGGCAGCGGCCGTACCACCTTTGAAGTGCTGTTATGTCGCTGCAGCTAGGCAATCCAATTGCCCCCCAAGGCATCCTCGCAGGTTTTTGCACAAGGATTGCCTCCTGCCTTATCAGTGGAGCAGTTTGGGATGTGGAGTACCACAGGATAACACAACCAGAGCAGGAAAAGCAGCAGGAAGGCTAATTGTACAGGAAGGTTTGGGATGCTTCAGGAACGGAGACAGTAAGGCACTAGTCTAGAAGTTTCCCCACAGAAATCAAGATACGGACTTAAGAATAAGGGCATTTGTGATCAAAGATGCTTCTCAGAAGGCAGCCTGTACCTGGGCATCAGACACTCAGGGTAACACACTTCTACCACTAGTTCTGGGCACTAGTTCTTGTTTTTGAAGAAACCATTCCTGTGTCTGTTTCCTTACTGGAATGGTTCAGAAGTTTGTGTTTGTTTTTAATTTTTTTTTTCATTGTTATAGTCTATTGTAAGGCAGCTATTTTGAGAAAAACTTCAGCTCCAAATCAATATTTCTTTCAAAAACGAATGTGAGCAAGTAAAGCTTCTGCAATTAAATCTTATTTTCTATCTGTAGCATCACCTAGTATTATTTGCAACTTAGTAATTACATAGCTTTCTGTTAACAGTAACCAGATGTAGCTTGTCACTATTC